AGAATGACCATATCTTTTAGACTGCAGAATCTGAATTCGATCGTATTATTATTATAGCCAGCATCAAGAAAACAATTTCATTTTTTCTCGCCCTGTCTCTCTCTAACACACAGGTAGCATAGGCGGCTTTGCTTAGAGTAAAACATTAGCGCCTAGATCTCAGAGACTATAAAAGCTAGAGCAGCCAAATTTGGTATCCACACTCCTAATATATCGGACCGAGACGAGTTTGTTTCAAAATTTCGCCACACCCCCTTCCGCCCCCGCAAAGGATGCAAATCTGGGGATATTCACAAATCTCAGAGACTATTAAAGCTAGAGTAACCAAATCTGGTATCCGCACTTCTGTTAGATCTCACTATAAAACCTTTATCTCAAAATTTCGCCCCACCCCCTTCCGCCCCCACAAAGGACGAAAATCTGTTGCATCCACAATATTGCAGATTTGAGAAAACTAAAAACGCAGAATCATAGAGAATGACCATATCTATCCAGCTGCTGAATTTGGATCAGATCGGATAATTTTTATAGCCAGAAGGAACAAATCAATTTGCACTGGCTACGCAGCGCCCGACGTCACGCTCAGCCTGATTTTCTGTCTCTCTCGCACGCACTCTTTGTCGTGCCGTTTACTATTAGCGGCGTCTGCCGGAGGAGAGCCATACTGACTTAGTATCGGGTATAACCGTAGAGTTGCGGTGTCCGCAGCAACTCACAACGTTCCACCTCGTTTTTCTTTAAAAACATGACCACTGTCCCACATTTGCTGCACTTTACTGTAATTTCAAGTAGCTTTAAATGCCTTCTCTATGAGAGAAGCGTGCTTACTCTCTCAGCTTTGCGAAAGAAGAGCGAAGTGCAGCACCAACAAAAATATCACTAGTAACTGTTTTACGTAAAAGCTTTTCTTTTCTGAGCTTTTCGATATTTTATGTTCTCGATTGCAATGAAGATCAGTGTTAAGTGTTCGTTGTTACAAGTTCAACAAACAAATTTTGGAACTGGAATCGTGGAAAGCACGGCATTGAAGAGCAGAGGAAAATGATCGAAAAGACAATTTTAGGTGGGGCAACTAGTTGGCTGCTCAAAAAAAAGGATAAGAAAATGCCTTGAAATATCTTTTGAAGACCGAAAAACGCGGAAGAAAGGCCGCAATGGCCGTCCATTATTGATAAAGCGAATGGTTCGTAAGAGCAGGAAGGACCCTTTTAAGCCGGCTACAGAACTTAAAAATTATCTCAAAATATCAGCAAGTCAGTACAGTAAGACCATAATTGATAGATAATAAATTGAGTGTTTATAGCCCACGAAAATTTCCACTTTTGTCGGTGAAGCAAGTGGCAAAACGAATGATGTATGCAAAACAGCACCTGAAATGGCCAAAGGAATAATGGAGGAACATACTGTGGTCCGATGAAAGTAAAATTGTTTTGTTTGGAGAAATAGGGTGACCAAATACTGAATAACACCCCAGGTTCACGTGTAAAACCATGAAACATGGAGGGACAATCATCATGGTATGGGCATAATTTTCCTACTATGGAGTGAGTCCAATATATTGGATAAAGTCCATAATGGATAAGCATATCTATATCGAAATACTGGAAACAGCAGGACAACGACCCAAAACGTACCAGCAAGAAAGCTCGGAAGTGGTTTCGGGACAACTCAATTAATATAATGGATTGGCCTGCTCAGTCCCCAGATCTAAACCATATAGAAAATCTTTGGGCCGATGTCAAAAAATATGTTTCGAATGTTTCCAAACCGAAGAGTAACAAAGATCTTTGGGCTACCGTGCAGTATTCTTGTAACAATATCCCCAAGTAAAGGTGCGAGAATTTGCTGGACTCAATGCCGAGACGCGTTGTGCAGCTGTTCTTGCTGGCAAAGTGTTTACAACTAAATATTAAAATTTAAACCCAAATTAAATAACGTAGTTCAATCAAAATTTTGGACCATTTCTTTGTATTTTATAGTTTTTTAATTTTTTTCTAAATCAGTGCTAATTTTGTAGGTGCCCAGATCTAATTAAATCATTTTTTTAATATTTTCACTTGGAGTTTGAAAATAATACCAATGCTCTGGGATATGTAAATTATACCTTCAAGTTTATATTTTAATCTTAACAACAATCATTAGAACCAATATTTCAGCAAAATCCAACAATATAGACACATTAGCCCCACGGTGCTATTTTTTTCGCCGCACCTGTATATACATCCCCATGCTCCGGTTATCGCAAATCGCAAAAGTGCTTGCAGTTGTTAATAAGCTAGCGATATCAAAAATGAATTGCACAGAGCACCTAAGTACAAATTTTTATTAGCGGAAAAAAGGACAAACAGATTGTCTGATGTTAAAACAACTGGAAATTTTTTTTTTGTTTTAATATTAATATTAATAAGAATTTATTTTTATTAGAACTCAAATTGTACCTTACCCAAATTAACAAAATCAACAACAAATTTCGAATTCCCACAGACAGATCAAATAAAGATATCAATAGTTGGCATAGATTACAGATGTCGTGTATTGCTTAATTCACGAATTTTTCGTTTTCTTCTGGTTTCATTGTATAATGCCATTGCCAAAACAAAGACATCTGCCTTAACTAAAATATATAAATTAATAAAAAAAAAGCAGCTTTACTGCAAATTAGCAAAAACCGGAGCATGGAGCAAAAACCGGAGAAGATAAATAAAATGTACTTAAATATTTGGGCTCTTTCCTCAAGAGAACTTCATCCACTTCTATTAGTTTTTTTAGGGCCTCCATGCCATCTCGCTCTTTACAGTAAAGTTAGCCAAGTCTAAAGTCCTAAGAAGATAAAAGAACCTTAGCTGATCGAAGCGTGTTGACTTTTTCCGAGACCAGGAAATTATTTATTTCAATTTTATTGGTACTAAATATATTTAGTATATATCCTAGCTTCCAGATAACTGTTGACCGTTTCTCGTTGTCAGCAAATAAGTGTCTTTTAACATACTCACACTTTGAGAAAAGATAAGAATTTTTAGCTTCAAGGGCAAGTGGATTAAGTTTTAGCTTTAACTGACTTCGGCTCATCTACGACCCATGGAATCCCCCAGTTTTTCACAAAAGGATAGATCTATGGAGTACCATTCGGATTATGTTTTTGCCCCAAGTCATATTATTTTTGGTCTTACGGCCACCCGAGCTTTTCGTTAAGATCCCCAAAGGTGATCTATGGGATTGAGGCCTGGTGACTGTGAAGGCCATTTCATCAGTGGAACAGTTTTCCAGGTATCAATTCTTAGTCAGCACTTAGGAGTGATTTGGGTAATTATCCGTATCCTTATTAAGGGCATTTTTAGTTTCAGCATTATACTGTCGAGTATATTTGCATAGTAAGAGAAACACATTTTTCTCTATTCAATATTTTAGACCAATATCCGAATGCGAAAAGCATCCCCACAACATGATTTTGCCACCACCTTGCCTAACCGATTTAATGCCGTTTTAACACCTTGCGAAGTGGGAAGTATTCTTTAAGTGCCTAATATGTGGTTCCCCATTAGATAAAAATAAATTGATCGACTAACACACCTTTCGTGCTATATAGTCTTTTAAATGGACATCAATCAGCCCATTTGTTATACTACGGTTGCGTTACTGGCAGATGATTTAAGGTAATTTTGTTTTATTTTCGAACAAGGAGGTTGTAGAGCTTCTTCGATGGTGCGCGCGTTCATCCGCGTGCATGTGGTTCGTTTTTGTAGTGAATCACAGATAACACCTGTTTTTGAACATTTACGAATTGTGGCATTATCATTGTGTTGTCTTCATTTTTTACTGTATCCGGCATTGAAACTGTTCCATAGTAAAATTCGAATTTTTTTCGTATCAGCATAAAAGTGACGAAAACCAGGAGGCAGGTATAGGCGGTCTTCAGCATCCCGGGTAGTGTCTGCACCCGAATATCCTTCAGAAGATCTACCAACGGTTTCATATAGTACACCAGGAGAGCAATCATCGAAGCCTTCTTCCACTGCAGATTTTATATATATTTTATAAATATATATTTTAGGTTGATCAATTTTGAACTGATAGATATTCCAGCAATATCTTGTCTTGGGTGCCCAAAAACCATTTGAAATACATTTTGGAAATTAACATGCACTACTGAAGTCTTATATTTTCTAAATGAAAACTTTTTGCTATCATAAACTTGGTATATTTGTTTAACCCGGATTAAAGTTGTGATCAAATGTATCATAAAGAAAAGTTCACAGACTGTTCTCTATGCCATCTGCTGGAGTTGCTTCTCAACCATTTTGAAGATTTATTAACATTCTGGGATTTTATTAAAATTAAATTCCAGAGACTGTGCTCGTTTTTGTCGTAGACGAAAGAGCCGAGCCGCCTGTGATCCATGTACCTCGCATTCTGCTACCGCCTGCCCTGTATCGTCATATGCTACCTGTCTAGCAACTACTGGCGGTTTCCTCCTATATGTAATCGTTTGATTCCTTCACTATAGAGACTATAGAAAATCCACTAATTTTCTCATTGATCGAGAACAAAATATTTTCGTATGAAATAGGATTAAAGCTGAATTATGTCGCTATGCTATGCCTTAAATCGTGCTAGATCTCTGGGTTGAAGTTTTTCAGAGAAGAAACATAAATACAAGAAGATATAGATTTAAAAAGCACATACAATGTACATATAAAATATATAGATATTCTGAGTAGATATGTACATGATTCGGAGCTGGCAAGATCCAGCACACAACATCATTCACTTGTGTTATACAAGAACTCAGACAAATTTGACTAAAAGAGTACAATAAATCGTGCATACTTACACGAATGAATGTGCAAGAAGCTATCCTCCTCTGAGGAGCCTTCTAGTGGCTTTTACTCTTTTCCTTCCCTTTTCCTTTCATTTATCTTAAGCTGTACAAATTGGATCTACATGGAAACTATAAATATTTTCTGACATCCAAACCAAATTAATTTGTGGACAGAAAAATATACATTTGCCGGATAGTTTTATTTGCTTGGCCCAACAACAACAACAAGTACAATTAAGATTAAGAATTCAATAACGTTTACGTTTACGCGCCGGAGAAATATTTAGCTTAAAGTGAGACTGCGAGTGCAAATGCGAGTGCAAAGAGTTGAGAGCTAAGGGTTCCTCCTAGACGAGGTCGAGGGTTGCTCGTTATCGTCGCGGTCATTGCGATCGGCATCGCCTCCTGCATCGGTCCCAGCATCGATATCGGCACCGACAGCGACCTCGGTATCGGTTTCGAACTCGGTGTCGCTGCAATCGAACGAAAGATTAGCGGGAGCGTTAGCCGGCAAAAGCAGGAACTCGTTGAACAAAAAGTCCGCGTCCATGGACTGAGTCTTAGGGTGATAGCCCCGCACAATGCCTCGCTTGGGCGGTTCTATGAACCGCTCTTTCACGATCAACGCCCCCGGTCGAGGAGATGGTGATGGTGATGGCGAGGGGGATGCCGAGGCTGAGTGGCAGGCGGATAGTGCACTGGGCAGTCGCCCAAAGTGCCCTGTTCCACCTCCCCGTAGCCGATCCCGGTTTGTTCCTGCTGCTGCTGCTGGTACTGCTGCTGATGCTGGTCCTGGTACAGCTCCGGCTGCGGCTCCTTTCTGGTGCTGCGGTGATCCACTGGTGCTCTTTAGGTTGATACAACTCTGGGTGTGGGACACGTTTGCATAGTCGCCCGTGGCCTGCATAGGTGCGCGCTTCAAGGTGTTGCTCTCGAAGGGAAAGTTCGAGTTGGAGGTGGACTGAGTGAGGTTCTCAAACTTTCGCAGGCGGGCATCCTGGCGCAGCTGCTGGGCGGCAGCCGGTAGATTGATGGAAGCGTGCAGTGCCGCTCCGTCCTTTTCCGGCTGCCCTGTGCCCTCGAAGACGCTGATCTGCTTCTGGATGCGCGGTGAGACTGGATCGTGAGAACGGCGCACTGGAGGACGAGTGTGTTCCGGCGACGGCTGCTGGATGTGGACGGGCAGGGAGAAACCGAAGCGAGGATCATCGCTGGCCACGTCCGGCGGAGCCTCGGCGTGACTGGGACAGCAGTGGCAAATCGCCAGATTGGGCTCCCCATCAGGTGGCAGTGATGGAGTAGTGGCTGCCGAAAGGGTGGCATCCTCGTCATCTTCGAAGCCCTGAGGAGATTTGAAACCCAATTAGAAGAGTACAGTGCAAAAGAATAACATGCTCACATCCATGGAGAGCGTCATGGAGCCCCTGTTTGCCACCATGCTCAGGTCAAGGTCCATGCCAAAGCTCAGGGGGGTGAGGCAGTTGATGGCGTTATCCCTCTCCCCGCAGGCGCCGAAGAAAAGACCTTCTCCGGACATGCTCATCCCCACGCCACTCAAGGGAGGGTGGCATTCTGTGAGGCTGTGCGTCTGTCCACTTACATTCAGGTAGATATCTGGCGTTTGTCCCTCAAGTTCCGCAAATGGCGTGATGGGTGCGGAAAAATGATCGCTGTGGAATGGGAAATCTTTATTAATGGAGGAGGGACGTAGAGCAACCTCATTCTCACAATAGCAGCTGCTTCAGCTCTGGTTCGGATTGTGGTTCCTCATCCGCCACGGCTGCCTGGAGGCTCTCCTGCTGCTGCTGCCAGATTTCTTTTGTGGGTTGGCCAAATGGTTAAAGTTTTAAATTCAACCGTTAACATATTAAGCGGAATCGAAAGGGGTTAAAGATGATACAAAAACAAGTCATGAATGGGCGAATCGAATGGGGAATGAGCGATTGAAAAGTGAACGAGATTAAAATTAAAATAAAAAATAAAACAGCTAGAAAAGAAAGAATAAACAAGTGAAGAATGAGTGACGAGTGAGAAATGGTAGCGAGATAAAAGTAACAAGCGAGTAGGCGAGTTATCAAAGAGCGAGTGGAGAAAAGAAAATGGAGAAGGGGCAAGGGGAACAGGGAATAAATGTAAGGAAATTAAGACTGATCAAAAAGCGAGTGAGAAATTTTTGATTGAAAAGCGATTCTTCGATTCAATTCATGATGAATTTATGATCTATATATTATCGATCGAAAAGTGTTTACTTCTCGCCATTTTTATTCCAATGTTGAGCAAAAGACTTAAAAATTAATTGAAATTAAATCACAAATGACACAAAAAATATATCTATCCGTGTATATGTATGTGCATATATCTATGTATATTGACTCGTATTAATCGGTTATGGACATACATAGTAAAATATAGTAATATATAGTGGTAAACAAAATGTTAGCTGCATTCTCTAAATGCTTGGCTCAATTCAATCCACTGAAAGTATTAAGAACAAAAAGAACGCATAAATAAATCAAATGATATTTAAAGTGCAATCAAATAAGACTAACAGACATTTGGGCATGGGTTTACAGCCCGGGAAATTCCAATTGCAAAACTCCTAGTTCCTAGTTCCCAGCTCCATTCTTTGCTACTCCGATAGGGTAAACTTACACATAGGGTACAGGACGGTGTTTTAACAAACAAAATTTTAAGTGTGGACCCCAAAGACGAATATAGTTCAATGTACACGATTATGTATGCAAATGCGAGTGACTCAGACAGTAGAAAGGTTACTTGATTTTGAATGATTATTAGTCAGGCTCCAGGCAAATAAAAGATTGGATTGGCAAAATCATAGATACGTGTACATCCTTTGACACCTCAAAAATCTATTTTGATTCTTTAAATACTACAGCTAGTGGTTTGGTACTTTGTCACACTTTCAAGCTAGAGTTTATTATACAATTTTGCGCTCTTCAACAAATAAACATTGAGGCAAACAACGAGCACAGTGCTCTGGTGTCATTTTGAGCCTTTTCTTCCCCACAGACAAATACTGTTAATTAAAAAACAACTATTTTTCGCACGAAATAATTAAAAAAATTTAATTGAATCAAATGAATGTGCGCTTTAAATACTTTGAAATTTCGTCAGCTTATCCAAAAAAAGCAAAATACCTCCTGGGCTATTTTTATATAAATCTTTTATGGGATCCCTTCAGGATCTTGTGCTCTTTGACTTACGCTCTTTTTTGGCGGCCAAAAAGGTTCGGCACTGCCTCCGATCATCCGCATCCTGGATTTTATTTAGCTCTTCTATCGCCAATTCTGAGAGAAGCTTATTCTCCTGGTGTCGTTCCGAGAGCCCGTTAATCGAGCCCGATTCGCTACAGCCTCCTTGGAAGGTCACACTGAGGGGCGAGTGATCCACTTTCACCATCACCCCAGTCGGCGTGCTCGGGTTGTCCCCAGCGCCGACAATGCCTTGACCGACTGAAGCGGCGACATCCACATGTGCAGCGAGCGTCATTGAAGAGACGGCCGGCATAGTGCCGTGGTCGAGGACGCGCGGCGGAGAGCCCGTTGGTGTCTTGAATATCTGCGCCAGGATCATGTCCTGCAGGAAACAGTCCAGCTTGCGCAGCGACAGAGCATTGTGGAGCGTTTCGAGGGGCCGTATTGGTGGTACATCGCCAAATCCTGTACGATCCCAAGTTGGGGTTGAGATGAGAAAAAATAGCATTAAAATATCATTAACGCAGGAAGGAAATCAGCCAATGACCCCTCCCCAAAATAAAAACAATAAAATAACGTAAGAACTTAAAATGAAGGTAAGTTCGCCGCAGTGAAGGATTCTCTGCGGAACAAACAGAAAAAAGAAGATAACCGAAAGACATCCAATTAGAGGACTTTAAAGGGTGGGAGATAGAGGATCTCGAATCGTAACGAGCTTCTAGAGATTTTCGCCAATAGATATTTTCCGTTAAGAATTTAAACCAAGACTTGGTTTCCTTATAGTAAAAGGACACCTGAAGAAGTTCTACGGCATTAATAGTTAAGTTACATTCAATACTTTCTTGGTTACCTACATATGTACACATAAAGAAGGTTAACCACATCAATAGGCTTGGTTCAAAGCTACCAAAGAATTTCCCTCATGTGTTGAATGTTAGCTTTTCAATTTACACACCCATTGGAGAAGTAATATCGATTTTTGGGATCCTTCTGGGTTCCCGAATTATTCTCCTACAGAATCTTGCTCAATAAAAGGTTTATCCTCTGGTTTTTAAAGCCCATAAAAAGGTTCTGCTATGTCCATCTACATAAGTACATTTATATTTTGAACTATTTTGAATTCCCTACACTTGATATCACTATATCACCCCTTTAGTAGTCGATTCTAAAACTTGCAGGACCTTAAATAGTTTTGATCTCTACCATCTCTATTTTGTCCAAAGTCGATGAAAATCTTGAGGGGCTTTACATAATTTTAGGGTTTCGCTTAACTACTGATTGTGCTCCTTCAAAGGAGTGAGATCTCTCTCCCTCTTAATTCAAACCCAACGTCGGTATTCTTTTGCTTACGACTATGTGTAGTACTCACCGGAAGACGAGACCGGTATCATGTCCCGCAGATTGGGGGCAGATGAGCTACCGCTTATCACTGCCGTGCTGAAAAGGCTATTAGCGCTGGTGGCCATCTTTTTGCTAAAACCACCGAAACCCAACATTTTCATATAGGACATCTGGCCGGCAATACTGTGTCTTTGGCGACGCGATGATGTTGACGAGTTGGCCGATGAGGCCGAGGCCGATACCGACACCGAAACTGTGCTATCTGTGGCGATGGTATTGGTACAACAAGACGGGGTGGTCGTGGTAGTTGTTGTGTTTGTATCAGTGTTGGTGGTGGTGTTGTTATTGGTGTTGGTGTTAGTGTCATTATGTTGAATGATCGGTTTATTGATGATTGGTGTGATTGTCGTTGAAGTTGATTTTGGTATTGGTAGAATTGTTGTTGACGTTGGTATTGATGAGATTGCGTATTCATGTTGGTGTTGGTGTTGGTGTGCGTCAGAGGAGGAAGGATCGATCGATTTGAATTGGTTAGTAAATGTTTGATTAGAAGACATTGTTGCTGTATTATTATTGAACAAAGTTGCTATTGTTGTTGTTGTTCTGTTTGTTGTTGTTGTTATAGCTAGAGTTGGTGTAATTGTCGGTGTAGTTATTGGTTTAAGTTCTGTTCGGCTTGCTGTGGCAGTAACAAGCAAAGTGGGCAGATTGTAGACCACCAGAGGCTGTGGCTGTATCTGTGGCTGTTGTTCTGACGGTCTTTCATTGGGTAAAATAGTGGTTTGATTTGGTGGTTCGGGATCGGGTGTGGGTGTGGTTGTTGGATTCAGATTGGGACTGACATTCTCGGCTATGGATTCGAAGCAGCTCACAAAACACCCGCCAGGCGGAGCTGGCACCGAGCAGGCCAAAAAGCGAAGGGGATTCTCCTGGAGAACTGGCGCCGAGCTGGGTAACACCGAGAGCTGGCCACACGAGTGGCTGGTGGCCCTGCGGTGGCCAGAACTGGAGGCAGCACTAGCGGCAGCTGGTGCCTTTGAATGGGTCTCGTCCATGTCCTTGCACAGCCTCAGTGTAGAGGCGGTGGGCGAGGTGGTGGCATGGCTCATGGGCGAGAGAGCTGCCGGAGCAGGAAGTCGCCGCCCGTATGGGACGGTCATCAGGCAAGCCGGAGCCGAGCTAGAGAGCTGGAAGTCATCGTCGAAGCTGCTGCCACCGACTTCGATGGCATCTGCTCGCTCGGTGCCCGTCGCCGGGCTGTGTGCCACCTCGGTGCTGCCCACAGCCTGGCCGAGATCCATCAGACTCTTTGAGTGTGAGTGGGCCTGGGAATGGAGCGCCAGGGGCGAAGAGCTGGTGCAATTGCAGCTAAGTGGTCGTTCGTTTGTGGCCAGCGGCGAGATCTGGGGCAGATGCTGCAGGTGCTGGGGCACCTCGCGACCCGCCTTCAGGTCATCCGGCTCATCGCAGCTCTCCATGCGGCGCATGGTCAGTACGTGGAGTCGCTTGTGCGAAGCCGGGCCGCACTGGGGTGTACCCGGGTTCAAAGAGAAATCAATGTCAGACAGGGGAAGCTCGTTCGTGGACGAGTCGATCTTAAAAAAGGACAGACTGTCCGTGACGCGGATCTGGAAGGCCGTGCGATTGCCCCCCTTGGAAGCCCCTTCTCCGGTGCCGACCCGGGCATGATCTATCTCTCCGAAGCTCGAGTAAGGAGCTGCGATATTTCGGGGTGGTTGTGGGCGCAAAGCGAGTCGGTGGATAATGAAGGGTTAGTACGGATGATAGGGTTCCGTCGGTCAAGAGTCAGCCACGTGTCGGAGTGAGTGTGTGTCGGTGTTTTGGAGTATCGTAGTATCGGAGTATTGTTGTGGGTGTACAAATAGAAAAGTCATTAGCCGGTATACTCAACAAATTGGAGGACGAATAGAGAAAACGCTTAATCAAGGTTCATAAAAAGCAAGAGAAACAATTCGAAAACAAAAACAAAATCAAAAAAAGGAGCAACTAGAAAGTTCGGCTTGCCGAATGAAAAATGCTCTTGCAGGCAGTATCCTCTAAATTTCTCCTAAATCTGTTTTAATGATGAACCAAGCTCATCCTAAAGTAGTCCAAGTCTCCTCAAATGCATCCCAATGATTAACATTTGTATTAGTTGCTGCCTACATCTTCTCGAATTGTAAAGAAGATATTTTGAAATTTTCTGATTGATTGATTGATTGATCCTCGCAGATTGTTTTCCTGATAAACATTTCTTTGAAACTTCCATATGAACGGACGTATCTAGAGTTTGCCATACGACGGATGGATACATTCGTACTTCAATGATCATGGAATAGACCCCTTCTTGCAAGAACATTTAAAAAGCTCAAAGCTTTCAAGCTTTGGCTGCAACAGCTGTCATGCAGCTTTCGGGCGGCTCGCGGCGGATTAGGAAAAGCTTGTGTTCTTTTTTAGTATTGAGGCGAGTCCGGTTAGGTCTTTGTGTACGCGTGTGTGGGTGATTCGGCGTGTCTGCGTGTGTAGGATTCGGATTGTTCTGGGTCTGTTGGCTGGCTTTGGCGGTACGGGTTAAAGGTTATGGGTTACGGGTTCTGCAAACAACAACAACGAGCAACGAACAGACACAGTCACAGACAATAACTTTACAAGAGTTGACAAGTTTTTTTTCTTTTTCTTCATTTCAATTCTTCGCTTTTCATGCACGAAGACCAAGGCAGACAAGGTTGGTACAGGGGAAGACAGACAAATAACCAGGAACAGAGGGAAACAGGGGTTATGTACACAAAGAAAGTTAGAGAAGTATACAGACAGAGATATAGAGCAGGAGCAGGGGTAAGAAAAAGTGTGACCCTTCTGCAGCTGGAGCCCGGCAAAAGCTTCCCAACACAGTTCCACTTCTTTCGAATTTTGGGTTTTTACGAGAGGAAATGCTTCGGAGGCATTTCCCGGGGCCCAGCTGCCTGCGGGGGCTGATTTTGGTTGTGGTTGTGGTGAGGGCGAAGACGAGGGCGAGGGCGAGGTTAACGCCGCGCCAGATTGACCAGAGTGGCTGTGTGCCTGAGACAGTGTGACCAGCATTGCCAAGTACACGGGATTCCGCGGCCAGATGCTTATAGATTTTCCGTTTTTCTCATGTGGAAATAAGAGAACGAGCGAAAGAGAGCGAGATTGAGAGCGAGATAGAGTGAGATTGAGATTGAGAGTGAGATTGCGATTGCGATTGAGATTGGGAGAGAGGGCGAGATGTGTGTGTGTGAGTGTGGATGTGGATGTGTGAGCATGTCTCATATGTCATCTCATCGATCGTCCACACTATATGTATATCATCGACACAACGTTGAAACAGAAAAATTGAAAACCAAAAATGTTGGGCACAGCTCGTGGGAGAAGTCTAAAAAAAGGCATGAAACTTCCTTCGAAACTTTCCGTCACTTCTACATTCCAAAATACATGTTGAGAAATTATGAAACTAAACATTTTTCGTTTACCATTCCAAAAAGAGAGATAGCGCTATATTATCTAAAGATACTTGGAAAAATGGGAGTCAATTCAATACAGATACAGATACAGATACAATCGGGCGGAGAGGTAACGAATAACGTAATCAAATAAATATTTTATAAAAACTTGGGTAGGGCTCTGGGTTGAAGGGTTCTGGGTTCTGGGAGCGTGATCTCTGGGAAGTTTTAGGGATTTCTCTCTTGGGTTAAGGCTTGGTTGGGGGATCGGTTCCCTTTCGGCATCATGTAGCTGGCGGTGCGGAAAGGAAACCATGAAACGCAGGCATAAAACAAAAAGGAACGGAGCCGCATGCTTGAGCCGAAATTAAAACACCACAAAATATGGAAAGAAATGCAACACATTTTAACTTCTGTAAGTGCAAAGGGAAGCGCAGCTTCGGAACAGCCGAAGATGGTATAACCTGGTAGGAAGATCATTTGGAAACCCATCAAAACTAATTCCCAACTTATGCTATTTCCCTTGAATATGTTATCAACAAAGCTTGTTCGGACGATAAAAGATTTTGGAAGTTATACCCAAAAAAAAAACTATAAATATGTAAATGGTCCGTGATCAAAGACTGATATGGGTAGATGGGTTGATCATTGATAGATAGTGTGGAGTGATTCATGAAAGGATAGATGCCCGGACTGATATTGGAGTTGTCTGAGAGGTGGTTGTACTGATAGCCTCACCAATTTACAGATGAAGCGATATTGGATCATTACTCTTCAATGTTCACAGTTTATTATGTTTTTTCACTGGCAGACAAGAAATGAATGACAAGAACACTCTGGATGATTTATTTAGGTGTTGTCCCTCCTATTTGCGTTCCCCCAGTGAGTCTCCCCAGACTTCTGCCAACACGTACATACAATACATATGTACATATGTATATCCTTCCAATTAACCCTTGCCATCTTCCACCAGTTAAAGTCCCCTTCCAGGTTATAGCTAAGCAGCGAGATGGGAACCGTATCAGTGTGAAAACTGCAAATGGCCAATCGGTGATGAAGTGTTACTTAAGCTATGTTAAGGGGAAGCCGGGAAACGGAAACAGATACGCAAACGGAAACGGAAACGAGCACGACGTCCCCTGTTAAGTTTGAAGGAGAAGTAGTTAAAGCGCTGAGCCACAGGCTGTTGCAAGCGCTGAACACACACGCGCTCACACGCGCACACACACACACAGGCAAGAGCACTAGTCCACCCCCGATCCTCGTATACATACCCGTCTCCTTGCAACAGTTTCCGGCGGTGGGACGCTGCTCGAAGCTGCGGGATCGCGGCTCGCAGTCCGGACTAACTGCCCGCATATCGGGGCTGATGGGGCGCAATTGCTGCTGCTGCTGCTGTTGCTGCTGCTGTTGCTGTTGCTGTTGCTGTTGCTGCTGATGGGAGAGCTGGTGCTGCTGGGAGGCGAGCTCCTCGTTGAGCCGCTTCGCCAGATCCATCGCCTCGTGCCCGCTTACCGTGTGGTGCGAGCCGATAGGAATGGGCTTCGACTTGAGATGTTTGGTGCGCAGCTCCAGCCGGTTGAAGCCGGCATTGAAAATATTGCTGCTGGAGCCAGAAGCGGATATGTGCTCCTCGCAGCTCTGCGGGAGAGCGGGGGAAAGCAGTTATTACCAATCAAAAAGGAAAGCAAGCAGCCTCGGGGTACCGTAGCTTCTGTCTGATCAAATGGTTCTTCCTTTCTACAGATCAAAAAATATCATCTTGAAACTAAATGTCCACAAGATCCTTTGCCAAAGTATCCTTAAGGATTGCAATGCTAATCATTATTTGCTATGCTACTCTTATCGTTTCAAATGAGTGTTCTGTGTGCGTACTCCGCAGATTTCTATTACAGACAGTACAGATTTGATGAGAACATTTGCGGAGCTAAGCAAAACACCCAGAAGTATGTCTGTCCATATACTATGAACGGATTAACGGACGCGCGGACTCATGATCAGATGAAGAGATGAACAGTAGGGTCACACAAAGTCTGTTCAGATGCTCAGAGGCTTGCTTCAGGTATTCACTGAATGTGTATAAGATTCTAGGGAAGAGATACTGGACTAACCCCTGCCTTTTTGGTGTTCTGCTCCTCGCCGGAGTTGTCGTTCTCCTCCTCGATTCGGGCAGGATTCGCCTCGTCCGAGGACTGCATGCTCACGTTGCAGGCATTGTCGCCGTGGGAGTGGGGCCGGAACCCGGGCCCTGGCGGCAGGTTCTTTTGGACGCAACAGTTGACGCCCGGACTAAAGTGGAGCTCGACGTGGAAACGCTCCTCGGAGGTGGGATCCTTGGTGGGATCCTCGTACAGCATGATGACGATCTGGGACATGTAATTCAGCTCGGACACCATGGAGATGTAGTCCATGGCGCGGCGCCACTGCTCGTCGGTGACCACGTTAAGAAGGCCACCGTACCGGAGTACGGTGAGCAGGGAGTGGACATGGGACTCGCTGGTGAAGTACAGCCGGGTGCGGACGTGACGCTGGGGACTGGCCACGCCGTGGCTGTAGTGTGGGTTCAGACGGTTCATAAACTCGTCCTCGACCTCATCGATGTTCCGCTGCAGATCACCTTTGATCTTGCGCAGCAGCGGCGAGCAGATACCCTGCCCAATGGCCAGCTTCTCCTGTGGCGTCAGACCGTACTCCTGCGGTATGACAATGTCGGCCAGGTTCTTGGCATAGATATAGAGCTCTTCGGCCTGGTCGTACTGCAGCGTGTGCTGGTTGTGCTGCAGATCATATTTGATGCAGTCGTAGATGTCTGGTATCTTGGAGATGTCAAAGAGCTTTGATTTCGTACTGAAGTCCTTCTCGATCTTCTCCCAGCGGCACCGCATCAGGTCCCAGGTTTCGCCATGGTACAGTATGGCGTCCTTGGTCTTGGGATCGTCTTTCTTAATGCTGATTATGTGCAGCAGCTCGCGGATCAGCAGGTGCACATGGTGACAGCAGTCTACTGGATTCTTCACAAAGTCCAGGGCCTGAGTAATCGATTTGCTGTTGCACGGATTGATATGCTCGCGATCCTCCTTTGTAAACTCGCGGTCGTTTTGCATTAGCTCGTGTAGGCGACCCTTGGCCCTGTTGGCGTAGAGGATACAGGATTAGGATACATTGCTCTTAGATTGTTTAAATGAGGGAGAGATCATTAGGCGATCGAGCAATGACAAACATAACATCAGACAAAATAGCGACAGACTATAAAGATCCTTCAGAATTGTAGAAATGACCTGAACGATCACTCAGAGACTGCCTATCCATCAGATCGAAAAGATGATGATCGCGTTGCATTGCGAATCCAGAAATCCAGTTTCAAGCCATCATAACAGCATAGTACAGATGAAAATTGAATGCTCACCGATTTTGATATTTACTGGAGTCGCAATCGTTGTCCAACAGCCCATTCGTGTTGGCGCTCTTAACCATCTGCACCAGAATGGGAGTCAGCTCTCCCTCGAGGGCCAGCAGACCCTTGGCAAAGGCAGCCGCTGTCATCTGGACACGACCCTCGTCCGAGGCATAAATCTTCAGGTCATGCCGAAAGGTGGAGTGCAGGCTGGAAAGGAATTTTCGATTTAATGAGCGAAAAAATGGAGGACAGGACGAATATGTGTACCGTAGTAGACCCAATCCCTGGGTGCCCGAGTAATCGGATCGTCCCTGACCTCCTGGATACATGCAGCGGAAAATGCGGCCCAGTTCCTCGGCCTGGATGCGTCCGGCCGGCGTTAGCTCGCCACCCCACTTGAGGATGAGTACCAGGGACGGTTCTGCAGGGGATTCCGCTGGAAGATTGGCTTCGCCGGGCTTCAGCACAAGACCGCGTTTAGGATTGGAGACTACAAGAGACTTACTGTCGTCGGAGCTCGATCCGCGGGGTCGTCCCTTGGGCTGGTACTTCATCTGCACCTTTCGATTGATGCCCGAGAAGTGGCCGTACATCTCCAGGACGTTCTTCAGCTGCTCCAGCTTGCTCTCCTTCTCCTCGATCTCCGCGTGTGCCTTGGTGTGTATCTCGCTGAGCAAGAAGCGGGCTATGTCGAGGATCTCCTGCAGCTGCTTGGGCCGCTTCAGCTTCACATGGCCCAGCTTGTAGCCATCGTACTTCTCGAAAATCTCAAAGAACCTGGCAACGAACCGGCAGACAGATCAGATTCAGTGACATGTGTTTGCATGCAGAAGGAGGGCTGTATAGTACTCACTTTGGATGCCGCACTTCGACTTTCATCTTTTGCTTGGGCGTGCGATCCCCATGCCGGATCACGGCCACCACGCAACGCAGCTCCATCATCTTGCCAAAGGTGGTGGGGACGATGGGCGGATCATCCAGTTGGAAGGGCACCGACCAGGGAATGTGCAGCGTGGGCGTCAATTCCCTGAGGATCATATTGCCCAGGATCTTGGCGCAGTCATCGTAGTATTTGTTTGAGTTCTTCACGAAACTGAAGCCGTTCACATCGCACACGTAGCTCTTGCCATTTGCCCGCAGGAGATCGAAGCCGCAGACCGTCTGCTTGAAGGCCAGACATACCTTGCGGGAAATTAGCTTCTCGGAGTGATTGAGGATCACAGGGTAGCGGATCTCCTTGCCCTCGCTGTCACGCTCCACCTTGCCGTCTAGCGCAGGACTCTTACGGGCCTCCGCATGCGCGTAATCCGGTCCCACGGTGTAGACCTTCACGTCGGTGCCTGAAAAGTACACTAAGTTGTAAAGGTAATGCTGGATTCAGTGCGTTCGACTGGCGGCCAGTATGATGAGCTGAACTGAGCTGAACACAGCGGCGTGCGGCGAGAAGTGGGGCGGCGAGTGGCGAGTGACGAGTGGCAAGTGGAAAGTGGGAAGACGCAAGACAATGGTCAAATGAGATATGTTTGGCGGTTGCGATTTGTTAAGCTGGAGGTGGGGGGGATTAAGCTAGCCAAACAAAGCCTTTAACAAAAACAGGCATCCATATCGGGGTTAACGTGTCAGGAGAGGAGACAGGGGAATGGGGACAGGGATGTGTGATCTGGTATCTGGGATCTGGGAGCAGGAAGTCAGGATCTCGGGTAGTACCTACAGCTGCATAGAGCATGGGAGCATAGAGAGCAAGTTGCATACCATCGGTGGGCATGAAGTCCTCGTAGATAAATGAGCCCGTCTTGCGTACCCGCGACTCCGGCGAATAGACACTGCTCCTACTGCCGATCTTACGAAACAAACGCTGGCTTCCACCCCCCGCCGAGGTCGGGTAGTAGATGTAGATGTTGTGGTCCTCCGCCGAGACTGGCTTCTCTACGAACGGCTTATTGAAGGTGATGCCATTGACCTCCACGTGGTCCTCAGATTCTATCAGCTCGTGATCTGTCAAATGGAAATGGAAAAGGCAGATATTTCAGGGTGTATATCGTCGAATGCGAAATAATCATGATGCTTACGCTTGGGATCGGGAGAGTCGCGATCGAGGACCGCATAGCGTGGTATCTCGATGCCCTCCTTCTCGAGTATGGCATAGACCCGCCGCCTGTCCTGGATGTCGTACTGCATGTGAAGGTTATTGAGGACAAACGGATTACGCAGCTGGGCGTACTCGATGGCCTTCTCCAGGGGGAATCCCTTCGAGTGGAACGAGACCAGGCAGTCACAGGTGGGCCAGTTCTGGACAGGTTCGCGTAGTATCACGTTCTCCTCGAACGTGACCAGCTTGATGAACTCGAACTCGCCGAGCCGCGTGAGGATCTCCTTCATCGGCTTCGACTGCGTCTTCTTGGCCATTGCACAGATGCCGACCATCACCTGCTTGCTGTTGCTGGAGGAGGTGCTTGTGTCGGAGTCCATGCCGTCATTGCTTTCCCCGAAGTCCGTGTCGCCCTTCGAATTTATAAAGATCCGTGTATGGATTATTGGGTTTGCCAGCTTTACTTTCCGGAGCATTTCGCAAAGGTAAAAGCAATAACAAAACAATTCAGAACTTAAAGGAGGGCGTTAGAGGGGGGGGGGGGGGGGGGGGGGGGGGGGGGGGGGGCGCGGTGCGGCACGGCAGGCAAAAGCTTGGGCTTGGGCGCGTTGGGCGAACGGACACGGACACGGACCTGGAGGGCGTCGCGAACGTCTTAACGTCTCATATGCTCGCCTGTAGAAACCCACTTTCCACGTTGGCTCTATGCCGCTCAAAATTTTTGTTGGGTGTACTTATTGTAGTCTGTTGCCTGTTTTTGTCTAGACTCTAGTGTCGACACTAGAATCAAACACCTGTCGTGTCGGCTTTGAGGGTTTATTCACAGTGGACCAGTCTATGTACATAGACCGGACAGAAATCGTTTCTGATCAAGGCCTCATAACTAAGACCAAGAAACTATGGTCGAAAGGAGGGTATGGTCAAAGAGTACAAGGTATAGAGTATATATATGTATAATATAATATATATATATATATATATATATTATTAAAACTCAAAACCGAGCTTACTTTATAATTTGACAATGTACATTGTACATACCAAGATGAAATACAGCTGCCCTCCTACAAACGAGTATCCAATCATTTCAGCCAGCTAATTAAATGCAAGCTTGACTTATCGGAAATTACCCGTGATTATTGACAGATTTTGTGTTGTGGTTTTTCCATTAAAGGGAAATCGTACATATGTATGTATAGACAAATATGTACTAACAGTCTAACAAATATACCGATAGCCAATATTGGGCCATTCGTTATTCTAGGAATTTCCATACATAGGTAGTTCATTAAGTATGGGAGACTATGTGTGTAATTATCTTTCTTGTAGGAGATATGGTATGCATGAAGTTTCATCAAGCACACGCAATGTATGTTGTTCTCAGACGTTATGTTTTGCGCCTTGAGTCGAGCATCAATGTATCGCGTCATGTGGTAACTGATCCCAGTTCGGTGCAAGTATAAATCGGTTGTAGCTGATCGGCTTGGCCACCACCAGTTTCACCGAAATGAGCTAAGCGCATACACAGCTTTGTATTTGTAAGTGGACACATGTACTTCACCTAAGCGGTTATTCATCAGAATTCAAATTCCGATTCAAAATTTGTACAGTGTATGTATGTACATAGTGCATACATACATAGATACATATGTACATCGAATCGGTTGATATTCAAACCATTAATTGCGTTTTTTATACCCGATACTCAAAATGAGTATTGGGGTATATTAGATTTGTGGTAAAAGTGGATGTGTGTAACGTCCAGAAGGAATCGTTTCCGACCCCATATGGTATATATATTCTTGATCAGCATCAATAGCCGAGTCGATTGAGCCATGTCTGTCTGTCCGTCCGTCCGTCTGTCCGTCTGTCCGTCCCCTTCAGCGCCTAGTGCTCAAAGACTATAAAAGCTAGAGCAACGATGTTTTGCATCCAGACTTTCAAAACTTCGCCCCGCCCACTTCCGCCCCCACAAAGGACGAAAATCTGTTGCATCCACAATATTGCAGATTCGAGAAAACTAAAAACGCAGAATCATAGATAGTGACCATATCTATCAGATATGTATCGCTGAATCTGGATCAGGTCGAATAGATTTTATAGCCAAAAGGAACAAATCAATTTGCAGTGGCTACGCAGCGCCCGAAGTCACGCTCAGACTGATTTTCTGTCTCTCTCGCACTCTTTGTCGTGTCGTTTAATATTAGCGGCGTCTGCCGGAGGAGAGCCATACTGACTTAGTATCGGGTATAACTGTAGAGTTGCGGCGTCCGCAGCAACTCACAACGTTCCCCCTCGTTTTTTTTTTGAATCGGTTAAGATAGAGTTTGTGTTATTCCTCCTGAAGTTTCTTCTTTATAATTTCCATAGACAGAGACAGAAATGCTCAAAACCATTAAATACATACACTAAAATCTTAACCAAATAAACCAGTTCTGTCACCTGGAAAACATTTCAATTAGCAAATACAACACATATGTATTTCTATCGCTTTGCCCTCTCAGCCACTCATTCATTGTCGTTTTTTGTGTGGCAAGCGGCAGCCGGTAGCCGGTAACCGGTAACCAGTAACCAGTAAGAGGTAATGTTGGGACCTATCGAGGCCTATGAGACCTACATTCAGGCAGATGTCGCAGTAGCAGAAGTCGTCGCTCTCGCCATCGCTGCCATGACTCGGTCCATAGTCCTCGTAATCGCTGACGTTAAAGGGTCCGTATTCCCCGTCATCGTCATCCTCAGCCGTATCCTTGCCATTGTCCAGCTGCTTGGCGTGGACGCCTGCGCTTTGGCTTCTCCGCTGACACTGCAGCAAGCGATTGCGGCGCAGTCGATCCCGGACACGACCGCGTCGCTGCGCATGCGCTAAGTCCGCCCCTGTGATTGCATCCAGGCTATGACGGCGTTTGGTCCGGCGATCTTCTTGACTCAGGCTCTCGCCACCCGCCCCTGGATCTGATCCGGGCAAGACGGCGGCTGTGCTAACTGCGGCGCCCGCCGCCGCTGCTGCTTCGAGTTTCTTCTTGTGGCGCTGGTGACGCGATCGTAGCTTTTTGAGGCGCCACCAGTCCTTGAACCAGGTCCATTCCATTAGGAAACTACGAGTCGGGGTCACCACTCGAGCGGCACTCCACGACACGGCACGATACGACACGGTACGGTACGGTACGTGCCCAAGCACGTAAATTCCGACACAATTTGAAGCGTCGCAAGCGACGTGGGCCGGACGGGGGTCGCGAACTGTTCCGTGTACGGCAATCAACTGACGTGAGTACTCGTACAGCGGATCTGATGGAATCGTATCGAATCGGATCTGATCGTATGGTATCAAACGGATCAGAGTGGAGAGACGGGCGGGTGAGGTCCCAGAGTGTGCCAATTGGTCTGCGCCCACTCATTCGCAGAGCACAGAGGAGCAGTGCACAGATACTCCAACAGAGAGGCGCCAGCAGCTTGCTGTCGTTGTCGCTCTCTTTGTGTAATTGTTTCGCCACACTGGAAGCGTAAGCGTGCGTCCGTCTTATCATCGTCGTCGTCGTCGTTGTCATTGTTATTGTCGTTTCCACTATTGACAAAACGACTTAACGACAACTTAGCGTACACGTCCGGCCCCGACAGAGACTAAATGAACAACGAACAGTAACCAAAGCGGAAAGCGAGCAGCGGACAACGACAACGACAACGACAACGGACAAGCAGCACAAAGAAAACGGTGGAAACGTTAAGGTGCAAAGAGAAGCAAACACGATAAGAATTTCAGTGCCAGGTGATAAGAATTATAGGTGGTGGTACGCTTGGAGCTGAGAGATCTCCCAGCAATCCCACCGTAACAAAATTACTCAAGTAAAGTCTGCATTTGTATGTATGTGTGTGAAGAGATAATCAGCAATAAAGTAAAAGGTATAGTTTCGACTCTGCCCGCCCATATAAACAAAACCTAGCCTAACCTGAAGCTGGAAGACACAATGATACTCAGTACTCAGTTTCTATGCTTTACATATGTAAACTATACATCCGACTATCCTCTTTCCAGCTCTTCTTGCATATTCTCCATCTCCATCTCTCTCTGTCTCTGTCTCTCCTTTCCCACCAACGACGTACTATCCGGCAGTTATATCTCCATCACTACGCCGGGAAACGTCGTGGGAGTGAGCCACTGGAAATTTTTCTATAGTCACTGGGAAATAGGCGTCAATGGGTAAGACAGACGGACGGACAGACAGACTATATAAATACACTTTATGGGGTCGGAAACGCTTCCTTCTGGGTGTTACATACGTCTACACGAACCTAAAATACCCCCATACTCTTTGAGTACCGGGTATAACCAGAGAAATTTTCATTTCATGACTAAACTCCACACCACAAGTCGTTAATGGAGGTGTCAGCCTCCAAGTTACACGAGAAATTCATCAAAAAATCGTGCCCTTGCAAGGCAGAGCCCTCAGCAAAGGGGGGTCGTAGATTAGGGGAAATCCCGAATTGGATAACCATAGATCATTCAAATAAAATAATAAGTTCTATCATTCTATCGTTAAGCATTGAGCATCTATAGTCAATTTATCTCTATATATGCATCTGTTTCTATTAAATACTTTTTTCTTTCTTAAGATGATCCGAACAAAAGTTTTAATATATGAATGTACATACGTATCTGCACATAACTGACAAATCTGATCACTGTATCCTAGTAAAATGTTTATGGGCGATCGATCATGCTTGATCGATCAAACAGAGCTGAGCTTATCTTATCTGCGGTGAGCTTTCGAAGCTCCCAGGGTGTGCACTAGCAGGGGGCAGGCACCATAAGCTGAGTAGACATACGGTCCTAACGGTGTTTCCGAACTCATTCGTTTACCGGTAGATGGTGCCGCAACTTTTGCAAGTAAATGTAGTAAATGACACGAGCCAATTTTGTGATTTGTTCGTTTGGGGCATGCTTTTGGGGCTTCTGCCGAAAGTCACATACAAACTTGGAGCATTTGCCGCTCATATAGGAATACGTATTTCCCATCTGCATCGAATCCGAATCGCTTGAAAAGAACTACAGAAGGTTTTTGATGTGTCGAACGTGTTCACTGAATCGAATGCGTCGTCAGGTCAGTTTGGCTATAGAATTGTTGGTAAATTAAATTGTTAATTTTGTATCCTTTTTTTATGGTAATCAGGACTTGGGTACCATGTAATTAAAGCTTACCCCAAAAAAAGACAATCGGCAACCGGTAAGAGAACGCGTGAGAGTGGCAGCGAGCGCCTAATAACTATGCGAAGAGGTCGGACCACAACTGGGATCTGCACTGGCCAAGAGCAGTGCAATTATCTCGCAGCCCAGAGACCCAGATCCAAACCAAAATCTAGCAAGCAAAGGCAAACAACCGAATTGAACAAATAACGAGAAAATTAATTAATGCATAATAACACGAGTTAATTGGATTTCGGGGCGGCAGCCAATTGAGCAAACAATCGAAGCGCACTGGAAACGGTAACAAATAAAAAAACTATAAAGAAAATCTAACTTCGGGCGCCGAAGTCTATGACACCCTTGCAGATAAATTTTTGCAGAACTATTCGTCTTTACGAGTATATTTTTAAGGTTCGACTCAATTACATATCTCTAATAGCAAAAACCAAATATACGGTAATCATGGTTTTTGCAGGAAAATATCACACTTCGTTTTAAACAGCTGTGTAGGGGAACAGCTTAATCGGACAGCTGGTCGGATGATCTTTTTACTGCTTAATGTAAACCAAGACTTAACTAAGTAATAAAAAATCCAAAATGGAACCGATACTATTGTTTTATTGGGGTACCAGGCTGTAGAGCCTTTAACGTGAAACAGCTGTTCCACAAAATGCTACGAAAGTCAAGAGCACACCCAAATCACTCTCTATAATATTGAAAAGTTGGCTCCTATTATTCTAAGAATCGCAAATGGCACACTAATTTTACAAACTAGTCGGACGGACATTCCTACTCATGGGTATCATGGGTAGTTACATTTTCCAGGGTATCAATATGGGATTACCAAAGGAAAGCGAAAGCAAATAAACGAAATAAAACAGCCGGAAGCGGTTTAATATAAAATACAAGCCCAACACAAAGAAAATGTAAATGTATATCTAAAAAAAATGAATAGAACATAAGAGATAATAACACTGTTACGTTTTTCACGTTTTTTTTTTTTTTAGTTCGAGTCCATTTTTTTATTCGCACTATTCCCATCGCTGCCCGGGCGTAAATCAATCCGTTGTCACTCATCAATGCCAAGGGCGTACCCAGGGGGAGGAAGGGGGCCAGCTGCCCCACCCCGTTCAGCATGCTTATTGATAGAAAACAAATTTTCATTTCATTTTCGCTGCATATTTAAAAAATAAAAAGTTTTTGCTTAATCGAGTTGATATGATTTTCCGCACCCATCCTTCTAAATACATACAACGTAATCATCTTACGCGTAAAAATCACGCATGGAAAAAAATCCGGCTTCCTCCCTTCGAAAAGTATTGGGTACGCCCTTGATCAATGCATTGGTAAAATTTTAGTTTGCTAAATTTTACTTGAAATTTCACTTCAAAAAAAAAAATAAATAAATACATACATAATTTCCATATTGCTCAGACGCCTGTCCCGCTATTCGGACTATGTATGTATGTATAAGTGCAATTTTGACGTTGACTGTACATACATATGTATTGTATGTATGTATATGTATGTTTTCACGATACTGTTTTAGTCTGCACTTCATTTCAGCCAATGAAAATGTTTACCATATTCTGTAACAACTGATTCCGCCTAGTTTTACGAGGGAAACCGATGCGAAACGTGTGAATGCCAAGGTACACCGATGGCATAAACTCGCCGGTAGAATGGCAGTCGTGCAACGCAAAGAAAATAATTCAAATCACCGGATGGGAGAACGAAGAGGAGCGAGGCTCCATCGGCAGGTCGCTGACGTCTACGTCTGTCTCTAGTGACGTGGTAGAAAGGTTGAAAGGGAGAAAGAAGCAGAGATAAAATTAACCCACAAACACACATACACACAGGGCACACACAGACGCACCACCCAAATTCGGCGTTGAATTCACATGCGTCAGCCAACGTCTCTGTCCCTGTCCCCGTCCATCCGATAGGGCTCCTGCTGTTTGCACTGACGTAGCTGCAGTTATTTCGTCTGACGTTGCTGGCGCTGGGCAGCGGCGCTGCCTTCTCCAGCCGCGGCGACGCAGGCTGCTCCTTCGGCTGCTGTTGCTGATTCCTCTACAATCATTCCTTCCACCTCCGCTGCCAGCAAACTTCTCAAAGCTATTTCCCATTTTTAAAACTGTAGAGGGATGGAGAAGGATGAATTATGTTCAAGCACACCACGCACCCACGCACGACCAGATAAAGAGAGCGAGAGAGAGAGAGATTGAGAGAAATGGGAAGTCAGAGGGAAAGTGGTATAGTGGGAGAGTAACCCTCCGAGAGCGAGAAAGCTTTTGACATTGACATTGACCAGTCAGCTGTTTCGTGGGAAGAACTAGAGGAAGGTGCTGCCGCTGCTGCAACAAACTCACAAAAGTTCAGGGTCAACTTCTACATACACATACACATATGCACATAATGATGTAAAGCATTCAAAAAATAACAATGGATATATGTATATAATTGTATATTATTAAGATTTTAAGAAAAGCCCATACATTTCCATCCTGACCCAAATAGAAGCCGACGCGATGCTGCTGCGTCTGCTGCTGCCCATTCTCAGCTGGTTGGGTATGCTGCTGCTGTTGCGTTGGGTTTTGCGTCTGTTGTTGCTCCGGGACAGCGTGCTGCTTATAGTGGGCGGCCGCTGCTGCAGCAGCGCTGCACTGGCTCGATTGACGCAAGTCCTGGTATCCTGACTCCAACTCCGTGTAGGACATTATGATGAATTTACCGTGGATTTTGGTGTAGTGTTAGTGCGTTGGCGTTTTGGTTAGACAGGGAAAATAATGCTGCCGCTGCGCTGCTTCTGCTTCTGCACTACTTCAGCTTTTGCGGCTTTTCTGCTGCAATGCAGAGACCAAACACACCCACGCACTCAGAATCTCTTGCAGAGCAGCTTCCACGAAGACACACAACAACACAATCAAATTGGACAAGCACAGCTCTCATGCCCTCATGCACTCACTCTCTCTCTCACACACACACACACGCACTTGTCGCGTGTTAAAATGTGTTTTGTATTTTTATTAATAATCTTTTGCTTCACTTCTCTCTTTTGATTTGTTTTCTTTTAATAGTTTCTTTTCACACAAAAATAATGAAAGCCCACTCTCCTCTCTGTTTGGCCTTCGATTTTCTAGAATAGAATTGGTTCTCTTTGCTCCTCTCTGTACTCTATTTTTTGTTGAGTTTTTTGGTTGCGTTTCACTCTAGTTACGAAAGAATTTCGTTTTGTTGTGCATTTTTTAACGATTTTATTATTACTACTGGATAGCCACCACGCGAACAATCATGTGGGTCGGCGGGGGGTAGTGGTGATGCAAGTGTGTGTTGCAGGCGGGTTCGGGGATTACAAACTATTAATTGAATACAATTTTGCACGCACACGACGTCCGCTCGCTGCCAAATGTGTTGACAAGTGTTGGTAAGCTTTTAAAGCGAATTCAGCGCATGGCTTTTTGCGCCGCGGTTGTAGGGAGGCGAAAGCTTTCAGCCGCTGCGCAAGTTTGGCGGCAAGCGAAAGCTTCGAAACAACGCCAACTGCTGAGTTCTTCTGATGCGGTGATCTGAGGAGATATGTATGTATGTACGTACATGTGTTCATATGTAGATTGAAATGATAAACGCTCGAAGTAGGCTTTCGCCATGGATTTACCCGGTCAGCGCTGCTTGAGGTGCATGGCTAGGAGCTTGGTTCGGATGCGTTTGCGGTCCCTTGATATTATCTCCATGCGCTCTTTGACGCTCGTCTGGAAAAATATCAGGTGCAGAGTGCGGCTTGCCGAACAGAGCTGGACGAGATCGAAAGAGAGTAATACAAATTCGAGAAGATAGTGAGAATCAATCTCTTACCTGCTGCAGGAGACGCGCCTTCAGGCGTATGTTGCCGGGCTCCTCCTCCTCGTCAAGACTGGTGCCGTATGTCTCCAGGTGCAGATTAAGAACAAAGATGAGGGTGTCGCGTATGGTCTGGACAACACGTTGCACTTGCTCTGTGCGAAAGAGACGGCGCACGAGGTACCCCCGCACACCGGCAGTGATACGGCTGGCCGCAGCAGTCTCCTCCTCCTCCTAACGGGGATCATATACAAAATTTGGGGGGTGGGGTAAAAAATAAGGTTTGCTAGCTGCTTAGGCACCTGATTGATCGATTTAAAAATATATACTATTTATTGGTTAGTAATTTTTCTAGCAGGTGCAACCAAAGTTTTTGTTAGATCAGAATTTTTGTGCCCTTTGATTCCGGCAGTATTTGTTAAGGCACGTGGTTCTCTCGGTTTACCGCTATTTCTTATGGCTTCTCACCCGCCCAACGCTGCATGCGAAAGTGTATCGATTAAAGAGCAATTGAGAGAAGGAGAGAAGGCCATTGGTGGCGGAAAAAGAGGTTAGGTTCGGTTCGGTTCGCTCCCGGGCCAACTAATTTGAGATTCTCTTCTCCGTCGTCTTGTATGAACTCACATTGCGTCCGCGCGTGGGCGTTGACGTTGTCTTCCTAGCTGTTGATGCGCTACCCTGCTGTTGCCCCTGGGGCAGACCACGACTAGGTAGACGGCGGGCAGTGCTGTGGGTCCTTGTTGCGGCTCCATTGCCGCTTCCTGGGGGAGTCTTCTTAGGACCGGCGCGGCCGACACTTCCTCCACCGCCACCCACGACGCGCTGGACTAAACCTTTGGTGGATCCCGGTCCTAGGCTGGCTCTGCCGTTGTTCTTTTGGGCATTGGATGCTGTCCGGGTTCGGGGCGCAAGAGCGCTGACTGCTGGACGCTTGCTATTGCTCAGATTACTGTTGCGCAGGGGCATCTCGAAGGAGCGCGGCGTGCTCGGAGCACTAGTTCCGGACAGTGGCTGCGGCTCATAGTCGGAACTCAGACTCACACTCTTGGGAAGCCCCTCGCCTGTCCCGAAAAGGCACTTGCGAGAGGAGTGTTGGGGCGGAGGGAGATTAGGGACGCAGATGTCTACCATAGGTACGGAACCGTACGAATCGTCTGGGGTGCGCGGCGACAATACTGTGGGTGAGATGGTTATTGTGTTGCTCGGCGACGTGCAAGTGGCACCACTTGTGGTGGCCATGCTACTGCTAATGAGCTCATCGCCTTGCGAGCTGCTGGCCAAATGCTGTTGCAGTGACTGGGTGCTGGTGTACACCGTCACCTGTTTGGAGAGCCCGTCGCGATAGACCGACAAGTCTACTTCCGCGCAAATCTGGTTGATGAGGAACTTCTGCTGGCGTTCAAACTCTTCCTGCATGCGCAGGCGCTCGTCATGCTGGTACTGAACCAGCTGGTTGAATCTGTCTCTGTGGGTCCGGAGGTAATTTCTCAGCCCATCCACATTGTTGGCGGCCACCTTGTGATCGTTCAAGGTGCGCTCGATCATGAGGTCGATTTCCTGGTCCACGTTCGGTTGATCCTGAAGCAACATTTCCATCACCTGGCGTGGTGGTTGCTCCTGCTGGTTGGGACTGACGGGACGCATCCGAAGGCAGCCTCTGCTCGGAATGCTGTTGCGGCTCTTGGGACTGCGGCTCACCCGCTTTGCCTTTGACTCCACCGTCTCTCGTTGAAAGTGGGCCAGTGCTCGGGCCTCTGCATCCGCCGTGCGCTGCATGTGCTCCACAAGCACCTGGGAGGGCTCCTCCAGTGTAAACGATCGCGATCGTTGAACGGTACATCTACCAGCACCAGCTCTTTCGTTATTCAATTTTATCGTAAGGCTCGACAGGGTCTGTGTCAGGGAGGGTTTAGCACTTGTGTCGTATTCCATGTCCTGGCCGTGCCATATCACAGTTGCCGGCTCGGTCGACGCGGATGGTAGAGAGTCGCATGCGGGCGGCAGCATTTTACCCAGACCTGACCGCTCAAAGTGGAGGATACGATTTGTGATATTGTTCAACCTGCGGTTATGGACCGTCAGCACTGAACAGCCAAGCGACGTGAGATCCTCTGGCTGAAGCTCCTGCTGCTGAGGGGTGGGCGGGTTCACCAGGATGGTGGGTATCTTGGCATCCTTCGCATCTTCAGCATCTGTCACTTCAATTCCGAGGGACTGGGGACGCTGCGGCATTTTGATGGTGCTAGGAGGTTGGTCAAAGATGTACGTTTTCGTCTGCTGCAGAAGCGGCACAACTCGCCGTGCTTCCATGGGGGTGTAAGCATTGCCGATATTTTCACTATCCTCTCGGCCTCCAGGGACTCTGACCGTTTCCAACTTTTTCTCCAGCTGAAGGGCCATATGCTTAGACAGTTGCAAATCGCTCCGCTTAGTCTCCGTCATCTGATGGGGACAAAGTCATGCTTAAGCAGCGCCGCACCTCCAAGCACACATATAAATACTCACCAGAGGCGCCAGAATGGGCTGACCATCGATGTGGAACCTAGAGCCAATGCTGTTGTTAGAGCTCGCTTCAGAGAGGGCATCTGGACTGTGTTGGCTGGGTGTGTTGGGACCGGATATGGTAGTCGTCTCAGTTGGGGTCGTGGCTGTGGTTTCAGTCCCCTCCTGGCACTGGGTCTGGCTCTGTTCGACCTCTGCCAACAGCTTCTCCATTGCCTTTCTGCGAGGGGACAATCAATGCCGTGACGAGAAGTATATCACTAAGTTATTTAATTTTTCATATTTGTATTTCTTACCGAGTACTATCCATGATAGAAAATTAACTTAAAATTATAGCTACTTAAATTTTGAGAGATACTACTAAATCGACCGACTCCGGACCTAAGCCAACTGAACAAAAAAAAAAAATAAAAAAATTAACAAAACACTTCGTTCAGTTGCTACTAGATATGGAAATCTTTCGATGGAAAACATATACAATATCGATAAGATGAATGGGCGGCGAACTACGTTGAAAAATCAATTAATTATTTAATTTGTATTCAAAAGGCATTTGGTCTGCTCTTTATTATAAACGTTGGCATGCATGTTAACCATTTAGTAAGCCTTCACACTTATTGCGGGTTAGCGAGACCAGAGGACAGGATAACATATTTTATTTCAAATTTCAATTTGAATTCGCGATCATAATGTCTTTACATGGGCTATCGATATCATGCTAATATTACAATCGAGAGCATATTTTTCCAAACGCCATCTCTAGTGTAGAGGGCGCGCTTTATTTTCCGCCCACCCTACAGAAAATTACCCACAACATGAGTTTTTCCTGTTAGCTCTCTCTCCATAAATATACACCATTTGATAAAAAGATCACAAGTTCATGCATGTAGAAAAATGCGTGTTCAGTACTCGTTCACTTTTCGATAGCCCGAACACATCAAACATCGATTACATACATTGTTTTTGCTCAATTTCGCGGTTCACTGGTGAGCGTCAATCTAGAAGTATTTCTTCATTGTCTCAATATTTCAATACTTTTTGAACTGCGCGGTTGTGGCGAAGTGTATTTTTTTTTTGTTGTTTTTTGCGCGAATATTGCTGTTACGAATATTATGTATATTGCTAGAACTGCCGCCAGAACTGCCCCCAAATAAAGTGTATATAAGCATATAATAGCCAAACCAAATGTATGAATCCCAAACAAATTTACCCAAGCAAATAATCAACAAAATGAAACTAGCACGAGAGACAGAAAATTGCCACCCACATGTGCTGGAAAAATGGACTGTCCCATGTGCTCTTGTTTGTCGGGGAGTTTTAGGTGTAAACTACGTTCTAACTGTATCTCCATTGTGTGTGCGTGTGACTCTATGTGTGTGTGAAAAGGGGTGCGGGTATTGGGGGTCTTGCTGACTTTAGTTTCGCAAAAATGCTCTTTGTCTAGTAGATGCGTTCCATGGACGCAATACCCCCTCCCTTTGATCGAGCGGGTGACTCAAGTCATAGTCACTTGACATGGAACGCTTTCCCATTGCCCTCCCCACTCCCCACTGACAAGTGTAAAAAGGAAAATCAAGAAGCGCCAAGTTTCGCACATATATACTTGGATATATGTATGCATACAGGCACTCACACTTGCATGGTTGTGTGTGTATATTCTGCGACGCAATTGAAAAGACATCGAAGGCCAAACAACTTTGCTTTTTATATGTACATATGTTGTTGCTGTTTTTTTTTTTGTTAGTTTCCTTTGTTTTTGCTATTATCACAACTTCTTTTTGGTTAGGGCTCTGCGAGAGAGCTTTTACTTCTACTCTTGGTACGCGCGCACGCTCACTCTCTCACAGGCGGCACCCAAGTTATATTCACTGGAAGGTATGGACGGTACTGCTTTTATCACTCTCTTCGTCTCCCAAACACGTTTGCCACGAAAATAAAATATGTATGCGAATATCGCTACAGTGGGGGGGCACAAGTGCCTTGCCTTTAACTAACATACCTTGCACTCGTAGCCGGTGTAATGTGACAGCGACGCGTTGCGTTGGCCGCGGCCCCCAACCCCGCTTCCCACGTTAAACGTAGCAGACCAACAACAACAAAAAATAAGAAAAAAAACAAATGAAAAACAAGGGGAAATGTTAATCATTTCACAAGTCCTTGAAGAATCGCAATAACATTATACCTTCGATGGTGCCACAACGCAGTTGTTTCTTTGTTTTTCCAAGAAAATGTCGACGTTCACGTAAAAAGAAAATTGCAATCACCCCACCACAACTGAACATATGTATGTATGCATGTACATTTGTGTATGTGTGTGTGACTGTGTGAGAGACGGGCCCTCGAAATATGGATTTGTGTTTTCATTATTTTTGCACAAAATCCCCTTTAAATAAAAACAACAATTTTTTTTTTTGCTTTTCCTCTCTCCCTCGGACGCTTATGGACTTTTGTTGTTTTGGTAAAATGCCATATTTTTATGTATTTTCATTTCTACGCAGCAGCCATCCCAGGGGTCTCACTGTGAACGTGAACTGGGTGCCACACTACAGACCATTGTGAGCCAGCATCTATAACTAACGGTAGCGGTAACAGTACCGATATCAGGAATCAAGTGAAAACTACGCCCATGCGCACAGCTGATTCAGAACCTTTCCTAACGGCAAACGGATTGACTCTCCTCCACTCCAATCAAAATCGAAACGGAAATCGTAATCACCACAAAAAACTGTAAGAGAGAACTCCCTCATCCCCCGCTAATAGCGGGAGAAGTCAGGAAGCAACGAAACAATACCAAAGCAGAAATAAGGAGAGCGGAAGAGTAAGAAGAGTGCACCCCAAAGAACACAAACACTACGCAAAGGGAAAATGTTACAGCTTCCCCGCCCATCGCGGTCGACGCTGCACTGTGGTCTGGCCGCCCTGATTACAGTCCTGCTAATGACCTGGTAAGTTGTTTTCCCGACAAAAGCATACCAAAATGCACAACCACATATCATGTGATTTGGCCCAGCCCAGTCCGAGGGTCCGTTAGCCTGTTATTAGGTGCACATACTGAATGTTGCACAGGAGCTCTGTTTTTCAGGCAGGCACAAAAATATGATGTAGCGGAGAGACTTGGGGATCCCTATTTCGTCCCTGTATTTCATAGATAAACATGAGAAAACTTTTGATCAATCGAATCAAAGTTCTTCAGTGGATTTTCGGTGAAACTATTTGAATATATGTTAGTACATACATATGTATGTAGATACTTATGAAAGTAGCTGGCATAGAATAGGATTGACATAGGATTATAGAATAGGTATATAATCCAGAAACTGCAGAATCCTTCATAAAAGGTTGACATGAAGTTTATTGACGATTAATTTATTTTAAAAGGAGATTAGTGTAGGTTTCTATCGAGTATTTACCCCAAAAAAATATCTCTATTGGTGTTTTTTAAATTCAAAAAGTTAAAGTTATTTATTATTATTATTTTTAGCTAAAGAAAACATGACTATACAAATACCAAAATACAGTAAACGCTCGGAAATTACCTTTCGAGAATTAGGACCACGTCATTCACAAAGTGGTTCTAATCTCCGAGCGTCTACTGTATACCGAAAAAGTGAAAAACTTTTGCATATTTGAATAGGCAGATCAGATGAAAGATAATGCAATTATATGCCCATCGGAAATACCCAGTCTGCCCAATGTACAGTCTCAGAAAACTTCGATCCCAAAGACGGAAAATAAAAGTCATTCTGGTCACTCAATATAATTCCTTCGAATCGCGACGCACTTATACATAAGTAAACATTTCAACTTTTAAGTGGGTCATGCAGCACCCCGTTAGACCACTCCGCCCATTTAAACGCTTCGAGCATTTCACTCATGGGCAGGAGGGGCCGGCAGAATGACGAAAATAAGTTATATAGCCGGTGACACAAACGCTTACGGTAACAGGGGCCGGCAGCAGGCGGCAGGAGGAATGGAGCCAAAAGAACGACGCGTGCCCAATTCCGAAAAAAATATATGTATGAAAAGTTGCAATGTGTTATTTTAAGAATAAATGTACATATGTAAATGCATACTACAATGTACTTATGTACATACGTATGTACATATATGTATGCCTGATCTCTTTTTACGTGCTTGCACCTTCATTTTGGCGGTCTGGCTAGTGCCTCCTCTCAGTCCACTGCCCTCACATTGCCATAGAGTGCAGTAAGTATGAGTGCCTTTTATATATGTACATAAATGTCATTCCATGCATCGTCCTCCTCCACTGAGCAGCCCCTTTTGAAAGGCATCGCGTTGAGCATTTAAAGCATTCTGTGTGGCGCAATTAACCAAAAAATTAAATGAAGTGAAACACAGAGAATGATTTGCACGGAAACAGAGAGAAGATCTAGATCTCTCGCCACACAAAAGCACCATGCACACATACGTGCATGCATGTTACGGACATACGTGATCAAAAAAATACTGCATACGTGAATATATGGCTTGTTAAGTACTGGCTAAACCAGGCAAGAATTTACTCATTACATACAATCTGCGCCACTTGAATAGGGCATCTCATTAAGTCAGTTTTCTGTCGACTTAACCGAAACGAATATTTAATTTTTGGTCAGCTTAATAGCTGTGTTTTGCGTGCTCAGGCCAAACGTTTTTTTTTTTTTGTTAGGCAATTTTCGTCACACTTTAGTGCTGTTAGGCGCACAATTTAGTGTATTGCACGCAGGAAATACTCTGCTATGTCACCAACCATACAGTACACTGTATGTTAACAGTATACCCCTAATTCTGTTTTAAACGGTCCTTTTTTTAGACGGTTTAGAAATAATACGGTTTGAAAATCAAAAACTGTACATATTTTTACTCGTTTTTATTCCATTTAGCACGGTTCAAAATAACACAACACATAGAAACAAATGTAAATTTTTGTTTCCCTTTCGTTTTTCCCAACGTTTCCTAATTTTCCCCCTAATTTTAGCAGGTTTTAGAGATACGGAAACAATCACCTATTTTTGAATACGAAACAATGTCTTTTTTACGCGGTTTCTTCAGGAACCAATCTACCAATCTACCGTGTAAAAACAGAATTCGGTGTATATGGTTAGTGGCTATGTGTCTTTACCAATGGATTGATAAGCGAATCGGTGTGTTGTTGCATTGACCAATTATTTCAAAGCAGAATTTGGGGTTGGGTTAAAAGAGTTCAAAAAGATCGGAAAGTTTTTGCGAATTCAAAAAGAAGATTATGTTGGGGCTTGGTGTGTGAGCAGTGGGTGATAGAAAACGTCCTCTTCCAATGGCGAGCTAATATAATGCCGCCAATTGCTCAATCTCTAGCTTGCATCATATGTTTGTGCTACAAAAGATTTTGGAACGCAGAGAGATGACGCATCTCATTAAAATTGTTGGTGTGTTCAACCAACTCTCTCCTTCTTATCGTTAGATTCCGTTGCCCTCCCAGCCTTGTCAGCGTCATCGATGTGCTGATAATCCGTGGTCCTAGTCCACTTAAGCTTGACCCTTCTCGAATTAAACAATTTTTGAACGCCTGAAGCTAAAGGCCGTGTCGTGCGTCGGACCCTATAAGAGGTGCTCCTATGCAGCTGCTTCCTCGTTTGGCCAGTTCTTAGCGCTCTCTGCTGGCGTATCTAAACGGGACAATTGTGCGGCGTTTGTTGTTGTTGCTGCAACTCAGCAATTCTATTCTGTATGTATCTGCAACAGCCGTAAATCAGTCGATCGCATCAGCAGTTCTAGAATGCTCCATCTATTCAGCTCTATCTCCATCTGCAGCTTCCCCGCTTCCCCGTTTTCCCGCTTCTTCACTTCCGCAAAGCCTGCAGTGCGATAATCAAATGGGGAAAAAGTCAGAAAACGCGAGAGATAATAAATTAGACGCTTTTCAAGAACAAAACAAGTCGTCAGCATTTGGTAGGGCAAGACAAATAAACAAACAAAACAGCAGCGCCCAATACAACAAAACAAATACCGAAAAGAAGTAGGACCGCTTCCCATCCATACATTCCGACTGTGAGATAGCCGCTACTCAGATCATTCGATGCTTGGGCTTCAAGCAGGTCAGGTGTGTGATGTAACACTCGCCTCAATGATGGGAGAGCGGATGACACGGCAACATATGTTAATATTGTTTAGACGATATCAGTAATACAGGTACCTACCAAATAATATCGTCACATATCAAATATTGTTGGTAGCACACAACGGTAGAAGAAGGAGGGAGCACAGACGAACATGGGTGACATGGCAGACACAGCACGTACCGGGTATCATAACCAACAGCTGGAGCTGCGTACAGTTCAAAGTACCGAGATGGTGTACAGTGATTTAACTCTAGAGGCAGTGGAGCCTCGTAACAGGGAAGTTCCCTTACGGTCGCCCCTATAGTCTGAGGTGAGCAGAGAAGCAGACAGGGACAGAGGACAGATCGATTCGATTGTCTCCGTCCCCTACTAGACGGAATGCGATACAAGCTAATCAAAGCTAGGGGGTTTGCAGAATGCTTTTATAAAGGTGGATTTTGAATACCTTATTCCCAATAATGTTAGGTAGTAATCCCATAAAGCCAGATAAACTCTTAGCTCGAGTGAGCTAGTAGTACGTATAAATAGTGTGATCCGCATAGGTACACATTTATGTATGTTTTGAATATGGAAGAATTCGTATAATAAGGCTTATGTCGATAATCTAAATCTAAAGTAAATAATCGATGGATTTCGGGTATCTCGGGTATTGTAAAAAAACCCTCATTCTGCCCAATTAAATCAGATTAAACCATTACAAAATTGATATCCCATTTTATCGAAGTATCGATAGCTTTCTAGTATTTTTTGTAGAGAATACCAGACTGACTGGGGCATCAACGTCAGTGATCGAACCCATCTGTTGGCTAGCAAATGGCGTCGATATCGACTATGGAGGCAACTGGTACTTCCGGCTGTTGCGAACGAGTCTGGTCCGCCACCAGCAGCCGCCACAGAGTTCACACACGGGTTCACATGGACGGCTAATGAGAATCAACAATCCAAAAAACACACAATCCAAAGTATCCGAAAATACGCTCGCTGGCTCAACCAGGTTTGACCAGATCTGGGGAACAAGACTGGGTATGCTTCCTGCTAGAACATGTTTCGCACGAACGCAACACAACACACAACCCCACACATACGGAATCTAGTATAAGCTTAGACACATTAGTTATTAATTATTGCCCTAAACGTAATAATAGAGTTGAGAGATGTTCGGGCTTCTTTGTGCAGTTCCGATCGAGTCGTTGGCATCTACAGTCGAAATCGGAAAGCGATCTCCCACTCCTACTGCTCCACTGCTCTTCCACTCGCACTGATAGTCCTATTACTTGCAGGGTTCGACCCCTTGGAGTGCTGTTCCTTGGCCTTCTCAGCTACTGGCTGTACTGGACGCGCTGCAGCTTCCGCATCGTACTTACGCCCGAGGTGCGCAGCAAGCTCGAGAGTTGGGGACGGAGGGCAGACGACTGGCGCAGGAACAGCCCGAGCATGTTCTGCGCGGTGAGCACTGGCTGCCTTGCCACCTTGGCCGTGCTGGGCCACATCATATCTGGGTCCACGGTGGTGCTGACGCTTCTAGTGCTGTCCGCACTGGTCTCCACCAAGTATAACTTTAAGCTGCTGAAGATAGAGCACAAGGTGCAAGGTGAGTGGTTGTGGGTCGACGTGGGGCAATGCAGCAACTGACTGAACAAAATATCCTTGCAGATTTCCAGTGGTCAGAAAAGCTCAACTACAATAACCTGGAGGCGGAGGTAGAGGACGAGTTCCTGCCCGATGTGAATGAGTCGAATCTGTTTGTTCTGGAACGGGCCAGCGATGTGGCCACCATCAGCTCACCCACCGATGTCGAGGAGGAGGACGAGCGCAGTGACGACATACCTTCGGAGCTGCTCATACCAGATGTGATACCCGAGATTGATGAGCACTCCACGGACGAGGACGACGAGCTGGCCCCGCTCGCCCAGCAGAGGCGGGAGGGGGCTTCTGTCTCCTCTCTGGCAGCCAACCCCAAACGGGGCCAGTCGGATGCCAGCTCCTCCTCAGACATGGACTTCCGCAAGGGCCACTTCAAGCGCGACTCTTCGCTATCCACCACCTCGTCCTCGTCGGAGGAGAGTCTCTCCAAGGGCCTGCAGTTCCCTGATCACACCACCGTCGATGCCGGCGGCGGACCCCAGCTGCGGCAACTCACCTCCGGGCCCGCACACCAGATCTCTGACCCGGCCAGCGAGCTGGTGGCTTTGGCCGTTAAAAGCCAGGCCCAGGCGCTACTGGCCAGCAGTGGCAAGCTGCTGCCTAGCCTTGTCTCCGGCCTGGTGCAGTGGGGAGCGGGTGGCAACAATGCTGTGGAGGCAGTGGATGCTGGGTCTCAGCAGCAGCAGCCGCAGCAGCGGCGCATAGTCACCGCCTTGGACTCGTCCGACGAGAGTGATTTTGAGATACTCGAAACGGATGACTTTAAGTAATTATCGGTTCCGGTCCTAGCTCCAGCTCCAGCTCCAGCTCCAGCACCGATTTGCCGTATTATAAAGCTATTACAGTAACTAAATGCATATACTATAACCTACACGAACATATACACACACACAAACAACCAGGAGACAGACAACTCAAGACGGAACGGACAGAAATGCACACAGACACAGCCTCAGAAACAGACACACTCTGATGGAAAAGATATATCCCTGGTGGAGATTGGCATGCCATATTTCTTACTGCAGATCTGCAGATCTGATGGTCATATATATTTTGCTACTGCTATATACTATACAGCCACATGCATGCATGCTTATGTACGTACGAGTATATTTGTATATGTATGTACAATTAAATTTTAGTGTTTCCAGTTTCCAGTGATCGGAACAGAAAGAATCTTGTTTCGAATTTTCGATTCAAGCTGACTTTCGATAGGTCCTTCAAATGCGACCCCTAAGCGTAATCGTTGCAACGTTTAATATTTTGTGTTTGCCTTTTTCGACGGCCATTTACAAATTTGTTTGTTTGTCCACTAAATAAGATGTGCTTTTACTTCTTCTTACTTACTTCTTTCATACATTATGTTTAGTTTGTACATCTATTTGTGTTTCACTTTCCTGCCTCCCCCTGCCTCCACCCCCTTCCCCGCCCGCTAACGACGCTAAACGCTAGAACAGAAACAGAGATGGGACAGGAAAGACAGTATGCCACATATATGTACATATCCACCCCATGCACACAGACACACACATATGTATGTATATGTATATGTATGAATATATATGTATGTTTCTTATATGTATATCTGTAGATGACAATGTAAGGCCCTTAAGCTACTTAATCTGTGTTCCGATTCGAAATGACAAAAAAAACACACACACAAAAAAAACCCAATCTACATTTACATCAACAAAATAACACACCAACAAAATATTAATCAAAAGAAGAGCAAGAGCAAAATGGTGCAGGTCCAGACACAGTGGCTAGGGACAGTCTAAGCCCACTTTCCACACCCGTGTCACATGTATTTTTGAGTTCAAGATCCTCTGCTTTCTATAGGCCCATATATGTACATGTACGTGCACAAACATATACCTATGCAATACACAGAAAAGAGAATAAAACCAACGAAAATAACGGCAATTTATAGCATACTTCGGCACCCCGAAGCTTACATATATACCCTTGCAGTCGGACGACCAGAACAGATTAGTAAATATTGTAATCCGGATTTAAATCCATGTCGTTGCAGGTCTCTACTTTGTTAATCGGTTTAGTAATGCCTATAATAACTAATAATCTAGCTGCAATCTGTACAATTCGATTGAAACATCTTCCGCAAATTCAAAGTGGTGCTTGTTAGTTTGCCAATCAATCGAAAGGGTCGTCCGATTTAAATGAAATTCGTCTTAGATGTATTAAACCATATTCAATGTGCACAACCAAAGACAATACCATTAATCATATGGGTAACGGCCAAACTTTACAATGGTACACGACTATTTTTTTTGGGCTGGCTTTGGAGCTGGCTCCAGGCTGTCGTAAAATTTGGTTGAAAAGCCAAAAGAGAGCGCTCAGAAGCCTGAAATATTTACTAAAACTGACGTAGGGCGAAAATCATTTTGCGAATTTAAGCAGATATTTTAAAGTTAAATTAATTCATATTACTAAGATATTAAATTTGAATAATTAATTATTTTATTATCCAACCTGCCAATCGCGAAAGGATTTTCAACCCTTTAACTTTTTACCCAGAACCAATCTACAAAAAACTAGTGTTTTTTTTTTACATTTGTGCTACACCAAATTTTTAACTTGAAATTATTAAAAGCTGATAAACGCAGCAAAAAAATAATATATAGCCTGTGCGATAATCTTTATTATTGAGCTTTACTTTAAACTGCTCAAACATAAACAGTATGGATAGCTATTATAAATATAACTCAAAAGTAGTAATTATCACCAATGAATATTCCTAAAACCTAACCCCTAAAGAGCCTTAAAGCCTCTGCCGACGAGCAACCGTTCTGTAAAAAAGGGATCTGCAAAAGGTTGATCCAAGTATTTTTATCAGACCTCGCAAATAACGATTGATACTTTCGGCGTGTCTGATAAAAGGGACAGAAAAGACCCGAAAAGATCAAATCTGTTTTTGCTCAATTCGCTCTTTTTTTCACTTAATTTTTGTTCCTGTTTTTCACTGAGCATCTTGTCGCGAGCGAACGAATAAACAATAGCCCAATAGATGCGGAAAACATGAATAAATAAACATATACACGAAAAAAAACTAAAAACACTTTACTCGGACACTTTTTTGGTTCTGTTCATCTAAAGACACTTTTGCTGTGAGCGCTTGATCAAAAGTGTCACTCTAAGTTGTTATTGTGAGACACGATCGTGTGACGGCTCAACCGAAAACCAGATACACTTACTACAAGCGAAGAGACAAAAATTGTTCTGCTCAGGGAGAGCCTTGTCAGCGTGGTCTTTCTCTGTTTTGTCAGTGCTGTCTGCAAAGGGAAAAAGTGTTGACCGTTGTTTGCGAGCTATGATTTGTATACATCTTTTCTCCCCTTTTCGGGTTTTTTTTGAGCGAAAAAATAGAAACTCTTGATAATCATTATTTTTGAGTCATATATTTGATTTCTTCAAAACAACTGATCAATTAATCTGTCGTGCTAATTTTCTGTTCCTTTTAAACTGATGGAGCGAACCTGATCCATCCTTCTCGGTCATGGGTGATCCTCACCATTTGTGCAGATTCTGGACTGCCCTACTATAACCGTCTGGATAAAAGAGGCTTATACAATTAAATGTAACATTGAATTCGTCCCCTCTGCAAGGGTATACAAACACATAAGTGGAAGAGTGGAGCAAATTAGGAAAACATCAGTGTTTCACTGGCGATCTTTGTCGCTGAGGCCATCATCGCACGTTGTAGAACGAAATGTAAAAATATATTTTATTATAACTATTATTTGCACTATGTATTTTAAGTTGTAATTTAATTTTCGAAACAAAACTAAATGTGATTTTATAAAAACAAGAGAAACTAAAATAAAAATCAAAAAAGACCTCAAAACGCTTTGATCGGGGTCAACTGTCCGCCTTCAGGTCGACCTGGGTTTCGGTCTCTGACTCGGAGTTGGCATCCAGCTCCTGCTCGTTGGTCGTCGTCTTGGCCTTGGCGCCCTTTCGCAATGGGATCGTTTCGAGAATGGCCGAGGTCCAGTCCTGGCCAGCAGCCACTTTGTTAAGCAGCTCGAACACTTGAAAGCCAAAGATAGTGTTAAGAATGGAACCTGGCGGATTGGGAATAGGAAATGCAAATACACACCATGGTAGGTACTAAGTACGGCGCGCGTCTTCATGTCTACATGCTCGCTGAGCGGCAGGCGGGCCGTGGTCAAGCCCGCCTCCGTGGCCCGGGAGTGGCAGAGGCCCTTGAAGTGATTATGGTCGACCAGGCCGCCAATAACGTAGGTGCACTCGGGTTGCACCTTGTCTAGCAGTTTGTCGGACTCGCAGGTGAGGTACACGAGCTTCTGCTTCTCGAACAAGTCGGCGTGGGTGCGATCAAAGTGGTATTCCACGTTCCAGTTCTCCCAGCCGTCGTTTTTCTTGAAGCACTCGTGGATGTGTCCGTTCCGCTTAATCCCCGTGAAGTGGAGACGTCCCGGCTGCGCACTCCGTCGGTTAATGGTGTAGATTCGCAAGCACTGCTTCACGCACTTGGCTATGTCCCGCTCCTGCATTAGGTCGTCGTAGTCCAGATCGATGGCCACGCTGAAGGTTGCCAACCCGTTCTCCGCGCTGGCCACCTGGCGCCGTTTCAGCTCCTTGCGCGAGGGTCCTACTCGCACGGGCAATCCCTGTTCCTTAGCCTCCCGACGTTTCTGCTTCTTGCGTTGCCGCTCCCGCTCCCGACGCAACTTCTTGAGCTCCGCAAACTCGGCCAGTTTTTTCTGCTTCTTCAGTTGGTTCTTGCTCTGCGGGGTGCCGGGCGTAGTTCCGGGACAGTTGTTTAGGCTGAGGACTGCCGGCTGCAGCGGCGTCTGGGACTGTTCGGTGGCCTCCATGGCTCTTCTGTTCGCTATCCTTAAAGATCAGCTCAAAAAACGTGTATTGGCGGTAGCCAGCATCAGCTGTGAACTAACTGAGATCGATAGCCGAAATCATTGTGGCCGTATGACATTATTTTTAATATATTTTAGTTGCCGCGTTTATAACCGAAATGGCAGGTACGGACGACGGATGCAGAATGTAGGAATTTGTAGGACACAGAGATTGCATGGGAAAGAACGCTAAATTACTCCAAAACCCGATTAGCTGTGACACTATTTCTGACAAAATTTAATATTTTCCAACACGAACAGCCAGCTAATGTCATACGGCCATCACCATCTGATGGTCTACGTGCTGCGCCCAAAAACGCACGTTTATTTGCCTTTCACCACACTATTGAATAGCATATATATCGATAAATCAACATATATTCATCATCAGGAGATATATTATATTGTGCCGGTTCATGGAAGTGGCTGTGTGAAGTTTAGACGAAAAGAAGGCGAACGTCGAGTCGACAACATCAAACAGTTCGTTCTTTTTGGAACGAGCGAGAATATTCATCAGCTCAACAGTCAATAGAACAACGGCTAGCTTCTGCTGGCACCGTACTTTACTTGGTAGCATTGCACGCTTCAGGTCAATCCTGACCAGAAGACACGCGCTCAATCATGGCAACCATGTCACAGCTCACACGACTCATTGGGCATGGTGCGCAGCAGCGCACATTTGCTCGCTTTTTGACGCATAGTTTGACTACGAAATCCAACACAAGATGCCTTTTCGGTGGCAGCAACTGGAGCGGGAGGAACCGCGACCTAGCACCACCTCATTGCACGACAACCCCAGCTACACGCTACCTGCAAAGCCCGTTGCTATTCACAAGAAGCAGAAGCCTTGGTCACAAGTCCACACAGCCGACGCCAGCTCCAGTTGCCACCAACAAGACGGACAGCAACGCTTCATCCACAACGGCCACAGACCTTTTTGGGGATGCAGCAAGCAAGGGGCTGTTCGCAAAGTTCAGGCACATGTACAAGCAGTATTGGTATGTGCTGATCCCGGTCCATTGCGTGACCTCGATCGGCTGGTTCGGCGGCTTCTACTATTTGTCGAAGAGGTTCGTTTTGGAGAATTCCCCAAACTCAGGACTCAGTGATGGTAAATGTCTTGTCTTGTCTTGTCTCGTTTTAGCGGAGTAGATGTGCCCTCGCTGCTGCAGTACGTGCATCTTAGCGAAACCATTATTGAGAAGGTACAGTCCTCGGACATGGGACACTATGCCATCGCTTATCTGTGCTATAAAGTGGCTACCCCATTGCGATACGCTCTCACGTTGGGTAAGGCTAGTCCCGATTTGGAGGCCCGCTCCATTAATCTATTTACCCTTTCTACCTGCAGGCGGCACCACTGTGTCCATCAAGTATCTGGTGCAACGGGGACACATCAAGCCGATTCCCAGCAAGAACGAACTGATCAAGATGTACGAGGACAAGAAGGCAACGCGTGCTAGTGCCAAGGCGGACAAGGCCGAGAAGGACGGGAACAAATGATCGATGGACAGTGGCAACGCTGCCTTCTGGCAGCTATTGCCATTGTCCTTGACGACCTCGAAACGTTTCGGTGCATGCAAGTGGCGCTCAGTTGACTGGTTGCCTTTTTTGTTAAACTGTTGCCTTTTGCTTGGCAGACGCGGACGGGAGTACCGGTGCTCTACAAACTTAACTTTACCTCGCCCTGGCCCGGCCCAAACCAAACATATAACACAAAAGCCACCCTCTGGTGATTGCTCATCCGGGGAGCCGTCGCCAGGTGGCCGCCTAAAATGAGGCCTAATTCTAATACCCCCAACACTCCCCGCCACCACGCTTAGAGCCGTGCAAAATTAAATATTTTGTAATTACATATATTTGCATAGTTCTCTGTTAGTTATGAAACCGTTTGAGGTCGCCGCAGAGGCACCCACAGAAACACCTCCCCAGACACACACACGACACACACACATGTGTAGACAGATAAAGGCAGGCGTCAGTAAATAAAATTTAGCAGTTATATATTTTTTAGATGTAAGAGTGAGTTGTCGCAAAACAATAATAAGTTCACTTTTATTAAATGAAAATCAAAATATATGAAAGCCAAACTGATTATTCCCAGATTTTGTTTCGTAGACCCCTGGCACGAATCCGATTGTTGCAAACGTTCGGATTCCACTAGACTTCAGTAAAACTAACTGATAGTTGGTGAAAACCTTATGGGAAAAGCAGCGAGGATGAGATAAATAAAAGTAATTCAACGCTCCCGAAGCGCCAGAATCGTGCTTTGCAAGTAAAACAATTTGTTTAACTAAAGGTCGATGGTGCTTTAACTTTAAAGTGATATCAGTGCAGTCTACCAACACTTATTTATCGAATTGTCACATGCTGTCTCTGTCTTTCAGTGCAGATCTATAGCCTGTTTACACTGCCACGATATTGAAATCACAATGGCACAAAATAACCGTTTCCACGGGCGTCCGTAGGTTATGGTGTCATGAGAATATCTGATTTACGTGTCAGCTGAAGATGAAATCAACATGGAAATTATGGAAAAAGGCGGGAAAATTGACAAAAGAGGCCTGATGCTCAAATTGAGCTATTATTTTCAACCATTTCTTTGTAGAGTGTGGGAGCTCTTCCGCACACCATTAAAACCCTCGACGATCTCTTCCCATATATCCAGCAGTTTCTTTATGGCCTCAGGTGACTGCGTCTCCGACTAGACACAAAGACGCATGACGCAGCCCTAGTGTGAACAGGCTATGAATTTGGAAGGATTACCACCGATGCTGGCAGTTTGTTGCCAAAAGAAAGGATTGCAATTTTTTGTTCTCAATTTTATTTTTGCATTTTATTTTTCGTTTTTTCTCCTGTTTTTTTTGTTTGCCTTTTTTGCGTTTGTTTTGTTTGCTTTTTTTAACGTTAGTAAAATATCCAACAATTATAATTTTAACTAATAGTTAAGCCAGAAGAAATATATATAGTAGGTTGTTCTTTGTTCTCATATACAAATAAATAAATAATTTGTCTTGTTTTACACTTTTATTGGTATTTACGTTGCATTTCCAAAAATTTGTTGTTCTTTGTGTGGGCGTGGCTATTTGCACATTTGTTGCTGTTTCTTTTGCTTTTCTGCTGGAAACAAATTGAGTTATGTACACATATTTACTCGTACTGTCGCAGTCTGTTTATGTGTGTGGGGGCGCGGTATGTGTGGGTGTGTTTGGTTAATATATCATTTACATAAATACAATAAATAAATAAGTTACATAATATATATCTCATATACATATATATAGGTATAAAAACAATGTAGGCAACAAAAAGTATATATATATATCATAAGTAAGTATATATATATAGATAGCAAGTATTTCTTGGCTGGTTGATTGATTGGTTGGTTGGTTGGCTTTCGCTGTTTTTGGGTGGCAGGGGGATCGTGGGCAAGGAAGAGGAGATGGTTGATGTGCGGGGGCAGGAGTCAGGGGATCCTCCACTTAAACTAGAAAATACGCACAAAACTAAAAAAATTTGAGATATTTATTATTCGCCAATGTCCAGCACCGCCACCCCCAGATTGAAGAAGAGTGGTGCTTGGACGGCCTTAAGTAGATCCTTGATTTTTGTAAAACTTTTTGAGACTAGTTCTGATTTTCTCAGACCAAACAAAGGACCTGAAGAAGGAAACAAAGGACAAATAATTCCCTAGGGTATTCCCCTTTCGCTGGGTAACGGAACAACATATGTAGATGTGGAACTTGTTTGGTGTTTGGTGTTCTTCTCGTATATCGCTTTCACATTTTCTCTCTCTTGCCTTCTTTACACGTGTAATTGTTTCTGTTCTTTCGTTTGGTTTTTGTTTAATTTGACTAATATTTAGCATTTATCATAAGTACGTTTTCACAATGCAGCATTCAGCTTCACTTTGCGTTGTTTCCCTTCTGTGTTCGTCATCTCCTTTTTATGGTTCAATTATGTTAGTTCTTTTATTTGTGGGGTTTCATCTTAGTCTCTAAAAAGCCGTTTGTAGCTCGTAGCTTTAATTTAATTTAAGTTAGTGTTTAGTTTGTTTTCAAGTGATTTTTTATGGTGCGATGGCGATTACCTCCTTTCCAGCTATCAGTTATCGTTATCGTTATCGTTAATCGCGATTATCGTTAAGTAGTATTGGTGTTGTTGCTCTTTATCTAGATGAAATATATTGCACACGAAAGACGAATTTTAAATATAGAACTAGTTTTCACTTCGCTTTCGCTGTAAGTTTTGGTGTTTCTTGTTTCTTGTTTCTCTTTCTTTTTAAATTATTATTTTTTAGTTTTTGTCCTTTTTTTTACACACAACCACATGGACACATCGACCTCTCCTGGCAAACCAATAATTAAGTCCAAATTATCGAATTTAGAAACACTCACACATGCATATATATAATAAAGAAATATCGAAACACTGAGTAGTGGATGTGTGGACTTAATTTAATTTTTTAATTTTGTTTTAAAGGAGCAGCATTTGCTTAAGAGTTCTCTGCACAGGGGATAAGTTTGCCGAAACTTATTTATGTATTTGCAAAAATTCTTTGTATGTTGTTGAATCAAATTTTTAGTTTTCTACCGCTTTTCAGGCCACGAAGTTCAGGATTTTTATATACACTAAATGTCGGGGACCGGGGACCGGGTACAGGCTCGCTGCTTTTTCTTTTGATTTCTTCTTTTTCAATTAAACTTTTTCCGAAATTTTTTTCTTGTGTTCTTGGGGTCTGTTTTTTTCAGCTGGGCGTTGATCTTGCAATATTTTGTTTTTGATATAAAATAAATCTGTTCATTTGCAATTCTACGAAGCGTTTCTACTGGTGTTCCTGTTTGTTGCCCTGGGAGTGGGTTTGAAGCTGTCCCTGTTCCCTCCTTGAGCTGATCTGTTTGCTGTTGTCGTTGTAGTTGTCCCCTGCCTGTCCCTGCCCAGAAGCCACCCCACACAGATCAAGGACTCCTTTTGGACTGAGAACTGAGCCTTACGTACGCTCGTAGAAAAGTATATAAGCACTGGATGAAACGAGAAAGTTTTCGGAAACGGAATCGCTCACACTGTGGAGAAGAGAGAAAAGGACAGAAGTTACACGGCGGGCTGGAGTAAAGCTGGAGATCGGCTGCACTTACATGTTGTCATTGAACTCGTGCCACTTGCGAGAAACTGGATGCTTGCAAAGGGCCGTATAATGACCTCCAGCAGTTGATCCTGCAGATATATGAAGATATATGAATATGAGCTATGCACTGATACGCTCCGACTCTCTGCCACTCACCCATATGATTCGATATCGCGTAGAGAGAGTAATGCACATTTGAGTTTGAGTTTGCGCCATAGGAGGCCATATTGAGGTCGCGGTCAGCAGTGGGGAACTCGACAATGTTCGACAGCTTGCTCCAGCGCGTTTCCGAGAAGCGTTTCAGATCTGAAATCGGGACACACATATTAGACTTTTCTCATCTACAATCCTTATGATGTTTTTTTGACTGACGTATGACAAGATATTTGGGGAAACGCTGAATGGTGAAGCTCTTGGTACATTTTCGGCGCGTCTTGCATTTAGAGCATGTGGGCATCTCGTCGCCATCTAGAATCTCCTCGCGAATGAAAAGATCCAGACAGGCCTCTAGCTTGCAGCGCGATGAGGAGGGTAGCGGCACGCTCAAGTCCCAGAATGGATCGAAGGTCACGCTCGTGTTGCCGCATGTTGTGCACTTCAGAGTGCTCTTCAGCTGTCCCACAAAGAGATCGCGTACCAAGGAGTTCTCATGCCGAGTATACCACTCCCAGGTTAGATCGGCCTTCTTATTGTCACTGCAGATGGGGGATAGTGATTAGCATAGCCATTGGCGGTGGGGGATCGGGAGGCCGTGAGAAAAACCCACCTGAGATTATCGTCAATATTGAGGGTCTCGCCCTTGATGCCCGAGTTGAGGGCCGAGTGCAGCGAATCGAGGAAGAAGCGCAGGAACTCCTGCGCATCCTGCTGATTGTAGTCGCTGTACATGCGATGCTTGGCAGAGAAGGCCCGCTTGAGGTCCATGGGGGTTACGGTGTGCACGCTTGATGTCCACATCTCCTGTATGAGTTTGGCAAATTCTGCAGAAATGGCAGCAAGGGCAGCAGTGGCATAAGCTTATGATCGTATCGTATTGTATGATTAGACGCGACCTACCGAAGAGTATTAGCTGATCTTTGGTGGCGGACGAGCGCGAGCCATGGTGTGTGCGCAGAAAGCGGGTTAGCTCAGTCGTGTGGCTCAGGCACTGGATGACCGAGTTCATGAAACAGGTGTTGCCGATGTTTCTCAGGCCGCACAGACCTGTGGAATAGCATTCGGAAACGGGATAGATTAATGATACTTGGTAGTGATATTGCGCCCGGCCGGCAACGGCGTGTGGCACTCCCCAATTCGGATACATCGGAATGTTGTTGGCTCCAGAGGCGCTTCAGCAATGTCATTCGCGAGTGCCAACGAATCCACCAACCCGTTCCTCTTCTGATTTAAGTCTTAGCTCTTGGCTTAGCGACGATTCCCGCTCTTCCCGCAGAGTCTCCTGCCTCGTTTCTCGTTTTTGTTAGCAAAAATTTTTAACTCGAAATTTAAATGAATATCGGGGCTCGGCTGCTGTTTTCCTGATTTGTTTTGTTTCCACGTTCCCCAAAACTCGCAGCCTCCTCTCTGTTCCGATCCGACAAACCTAACTTCACTCCATTCAGGACAGGGCAGGGCAGGGCAGGCCAGGCCAGTTGAGGGCACGCCTGTCGACTTACTCACCTTCCGATTTCTCTTCGCGCTGCGTCGCCGAGCTCCGGTAGCCCTCGTCGGTGTTGTACTTGCTGCTGCCGCTCAGAGCTGAGGAGTTGGAAGAGGAGTACTGGCGACTGGTGGTGTTGCTGCTGTCCCGTTCCCAGTAGCGGCTGGGTGTTGGCGACACGGGCGGCAGGACGTTCCGTGTGCTGACGACGTTCCTGGCCTACGTTTTTTACAACAAAGAGATTCGATGGCGATATAAGTTCGACTGATATCAGTGTGTGTCCGAAATCCCGTCGATTGGCAACTGTCCGGAGGGGGCCAGCTGTTCAGAGCAGGAGAGCAGCTGCGTTCTCCGACAGTTGGCAATCGATGCGACTCGATTAGTAATCGATAATTATAATCAAAGCACAGTTAGCAATCGAGCAGTTAGAAGAGTAAACGATAACAATAATATAATGCTCATGGGAGGATGAGAGGATAGGAGAGGAGGTGCGGAGCTGTGTTATGTGATATCTGATATGTGGTGAGTATGCATGTGTTTTTGTGGTGAGTTCTGTATCATGCGGGGGCTTAAAAACGAAATACAATAACAAATTGAACACAAAACGTTGCAAGTGCGACAGGGACAACAAGAGACAGCGAGCGAACAAAAACAAATAACAACTAACAAAGGTAACGTAAAATAAAGAGACAACACAATATGTAATTAAAACAAACAGGAAGGGAGGCGAGGATGGGGAGTACTAGGGCGTAATAGAGTGGCGTGCAACCGAGCGCGATCGGCGAAGGATGATGAATAAAATGCATATTTTTGAATGTTCATATTTCTAGCGACAACAATTTTGGATTAACTAATCTAGCCCGCTTAAGGAAAACGAGAACAAAGTATACAAAGTAAACGGAAATGCGAGATATTTAGAAATATTGAGAGAACGAGAGAGAGAGAGAGAGAGTAATATAAACTGAACAGAACTGTACTGTACTCGACTGCATTGCCCTGTGTAGTGCACTGGGAGTACACTGGGAGTGCACCTTGGAGGAGCCTTGCCAGAGGACGACTTACACTATCGCTGGCTGCCGCCGAGCCCGTGACTGTGACCGTGACCGTGCCCGTGGCTGTGGAGACGGAAGACGACGAACCGGAGGCGGAAGCGGAAACAGTGCCCGATGTGGCTGATGTGGCGGATGTGGTTGTAGCTAGTGTTGTTGTGGCCGCTGCAGTGGTTGATTGTGTCTTAGAGTCGTTTACCTGTGGATTGAACGCCACTAGGACGGGCTGCACTGCTCGCGGCAACGGAGCGACGACACAGTTCATGGGGGCCGTGGTTCGGTAGGCGGCCCGCGTTAGGGAGCTGCTATGGCCCGCCGATAAACGAACATTATCCAGGTCGCCGCTGTAGCGATGCTGCTGCAGATTTCCACTGCTCCCGATGGACGAGGTCTGCGCTATGTGAGTACTTCGTGGCATGGCTCCTCTGGCTCCTCCGGCGGGAGACGTGGAGTAGCCAGTTGTCGTCTCCTTGCCCGAATGTTGCCCCTGACGCTGCTTCTGGCAGCTGAGATTGTTGAATTTTTCAATCGAGGCTTTAATGCTAACTGAATCGATGCCATACCAACGTGCATTGCTGGATAGCACGGATTGTGGTTGGCCACCGCCTGCCTCAGTTGTCCTCCCTGTTCCCGAAGGTGTTCCATTGACTAGCTTCGGGTTGTTGAACTTCTCCAAGCTGGCGGCAAAGTTGGAGTGGGATGTGATTATCGTGGACCTAGGACGCTTGTGGCCAACGTTCCTGAACATGGGATCGCTTTGATTGGCTGCAGCTGTAGATGTAGCTTCAGCTGCAGCTGCAGCTGTAGCCGCTCCTGCTCCGGCTCCTGCTCTTGCTCCACCAGAACCAGCTGCTACTTTAGCTGCTGCTGCTCCCGATGTGGAGGGCAGAGGTGTATCGTCGCTGTCTATGTAGCTGATGTCATCGTCTTGCAGCTGTTGGTGCAGCTGATGTTGCGCCTCCTGCTTCTGTTGTGGCTGCTGCTTCAGTTTCTGTCCACGCTGCATGTTGTTGTTGCTGCCGTTGACACTGCTGCTGTGGTTGCTGTTGTTATTATTGTGTCCGTTCATGATCGTGTGGCTGGTGTAGCCGTGGTTCTGATATTGGTTGTGGTTGCTGTGGTTGTTGGTACTGTTAGTGTTGCTACTGTTGTTATTGTTGCTGTTGTTATTGTTATTGGAGCCGCTGCCAAAGGTCAGTGGCTTCAGCTTGCCAAGGGTCCTTCCCGTGTGTGAGGCTGTGGCTGCCTGCAGCGCCTTCTGTCCCGCCGTTAGCTGTTGCTCCTGGGTGCTAGAGGCCCTGATGCTGCCGTGCTTGTGGACGGGACCGTTAATGGTGCTTCTGTTGTAGCTCGACGTCGTCGTCGTCGTCGCTGCTGCTCCTGCCGCCGGTTGATTGCCATTGAACATCGGCGGACGCGGCATGTCATTCAATGCTCCTTGTGGTCCTAGTCCACCACCTGCCACATGGCCCTGTGCCTTGTGGCTGCTGTGGTTGTTGTGGTTCTGGTGGCTGTTATGACTGCTGTGCTGGTTATTATTGTTTTTGTTATCCTCACCCACCCTACAGCGCTGCTTGCCGTGGGTGGCTTTGGACTTGCCCGCACCAGCACCCGTCACCTGGGCATGGGCCAGCTCGCACTCTTCCTTGAGGAATGTGGGGTCCTTAAAGCTGGGCACGAGGAAGTAGCGCTGATTGGCCGTCCGCACGGGATTTCCGCCCGCTGTTCCCGTCGTCACTGAGCGGCCACCTCCTCCTCCTGCCGCTCCTGCTGCTGATGATGAGCCGTGTTTACCTTGCCCCTTGCCCACTCCCACTGAAGCACCTCCTCCGGTTGGGATTCCTGGTCCGGTGGAGTATTTCGATTTACCCTCCCGGCCCCGTGCCGTGCTATTATGGATGCCTCGCTTGGAGCCGCCTGCTCCTTTGCCGGATGCCACTGATGTGGTACCAGTGGCGGTTGCTGCCTTTCCTGCTCCCGGATGGGATGCAGCTACTGTAGATGCACCTGCCGCTGCTGCTGCGGAAGGGGCTGCTACTGCTACTACTGCTGGCTCACCTCCGCGTTGCAGTCTGGATGATGGAGTCTTGTGGAAACCTCTGTTCTTCTTAACGTCTAACATCATTCAACATCAGCTGACAGTCGTTTGCACAATCTGGATTCTCCCTTCACTTCCAGATCCTTGTCCAATCTGCCTAGACTGGTGTTTTTTTTGCTAGTTCCGATTTTCAGTTAATGTTTGCTTGTAGTATATTTTTGTTCGTTTGATAGTTGAGTTTTAACTGAGGTCTGGCCGAAAGGGATTCAAATTTTGATGATTTTTAAAGTCACGAACTGCTTTGTTTTTTTTTTTTTACATACTGATCCCTATATGCTGGGGGCAGTGTTTTTTTTTGTTTTTTTTTTTGTTTGCTTATTTTTGCTGTAGTTTTTTTTGGGCGAGAATAAAAAGGGGAGGCGGAAGGAGAGTTCTCCTAGCCAATGGGGGTTCGCCTAGTCCTAGTCATGTAGTGTCTCTAGCGATTGCTGGGGCAGTTGGGGATAGGGGGTGGGGCTGGGACTGAACTGGTCGTGGGTCGGGGTTAGTCAGCGATTCAGAGATTATAGTTATTGTTGTGCTTCGGTACTCGGTAGTTCGATTAGTTGAGTTTAGAGTTTAGTTTAGTTGAGTTGGGAGTTTGCTTTGGTTTTGTCTTTGCTTTGCTTTGGTTAAGTGAGTTAGAAGGGGCGCAATCTGCAAGAGTTAAGCTAAAAATACATAGAAATGTAAATTGGATTAAATGGCGGCGGCCTAGGCACAAATACAGAGAGCACAGAGAGATCAATTTTCAATTCAAACTCAATCAAATGAAATGAAATGATACCAAAAGAAATAACGCATGTACATATATCAGTATCAGTAACAGAATCATGTATCGGTGCAAGCAATGGCTGGGCGATTGATTGCTGGAGGGTGAGTGGCGCAATGTGGGGATTGATTTGATTGGATTGGATTGGATTGTGGCGAGTGTTTTTGGCAAAGCGGAGCCTGCGGCATTCACACACACATACGAATTTCGGCAATCAAATTTCAGGGTTAGAGGGTGGGCTGGTTAGGCTGCTATCAATAGTCGCTTAATCAGGGTATATCGGGTTGGCAGGTCATGCGATTAGTCGGGCACTCTGGGCAGTCTTGGCAGCGCTGTCTGTCGCCGCGTCGTACATATCGATATTTTACCTTGCTGCCGGCTTCCGTTAACTTGAATGTAGCTGTCGCGCTCACATCGCCATTGTTCGCATCCTCCACGTCCGGTCCCGCATCATCTGTCGTATCAAGAGTGGCTCTCACGCTACTCCCACTACGACTTTCGTAGATTGCGTTCCTCTTCGGCGATGTCGACAGCAAGGACAGGCCATTGAGCTTCGTGTCCAGTCCATTGCTGTCCGCCCCATGACCATTGATTGATTTTAAGGCTGACGGTGGAGGTGGCGGCGGCGGTGGTGGAGGCGCTGTATGAGATGCTACTGATCCTACTGCGGCTACTGTAGCTGCGGCTGCTGCTGCTGCTTCTGTATCCCTTGCCGACGATGCATCCGCAATGCTGCGCCGCGTTCTGTTGCTTCTGAGTGTGAAGGTGGCCGTGGGCACGTCCCCGCTGCTGTTGCTGCTACTCAACGTGAACCGGCCCGACCCGTTGCGCTGTCCCAGCCGCGATGAGGATGTTGTGCTCGTGCTTGTCCCGGTGCTGGTGGATGGCGTGGAGTCGGTGGCGTCACTGTTATTGCTGTAGAGCCGGCTGTAGCGACTGGTCCGCGAGCGGTCCAGGGTGACCGTGCAGGTGGTCGTGTCATTGCCATTACCGTTGCCGTCCACATCGCCCGACGGCGTCTCACTGAGCCCCGATCTAGAACGTGACGATGGTTCACTGTTGGGTTTATAGTTGGCCGGACTGTACTTTTCGTACATGTCCAGCCCCGAGGTGGCCACTAAACGTGCTAGGGATGGTGATGAGGATGAGCTGGACAGGCGTTTCGAATGGCCGTTGCTAATGGCGCTCTCGCTGTAGCTGCTGCTACTGGCACTGCCATTGCCATTGCCACCGCCACTTGTTGGCGGCTTCTTAGCCTCGCGCCGCAGTCCATAGTCGTTCTTTTTCAATCCGCTCTCGCCATTGGTGGCGGATCCAGATCCGGATACGGATCCTTTTGTTGTCTTGCGCGGCAACTTTTATTCGAATTTGAATTCGAATTTTGTTTTGTTGTTGTTTTGATTTGGTGGTTGGCGTTGGTGGTTGGCGAAACATTTACAAGTGTGTCGATTTTAAATGAGCGAGATGGCAACAATCGGTGGTGGTTTTTGGTTTTGGGAACGTAGCAGGTAGCAGTAACGGTAACGATAACGTTAACGGTAACGGTGAACAAGTTTGTTCATGTTTCATGGTGTCGCAACATAAACCAATTTCAAAAGTAACAGAAAACAAAATAAAAGAAACATCAATGATGAGTTTTATGACTGATTTGTACAGAATGAAGACGGAAATAACATTCGAAAACGTAAGAAAATTTTGAAAAAATAAATGAAATTAAAGGCACAAAATTATGCTATATAGTCGCTACGATACGACTATGCAAATACACCCGGTACACCCATACACTATCTGCCAGTGAGGGAGAGGGGGTTCAATAGCTTGGCCAAAGCCCAATGACGATGATTCGCGACTGAACGTGAGGCAACAAGGTGCCCACGCTATAAGGGGATGCCGCACCCTCACCCTTATCTTTTTCCCCAATTTCAAATTTTAATGTTAGGTACATATGTACATAGTATGTATATGTGTGTATATTTTTGCTCCTATGACAGCTCTAAAGATCAGAACTTTCTAAACGGGATGGTCTTGTGACTAGTACCATTTCAGAAGAATTGGCGAAAAGTTAAAATGATGATAGGCCTGATCGATTTTTATATGAAAATCGTGATCTTTCTTTGATACATGCGTGCATACATACATACATCAGCTAAACATTCGAGAAAATGATGACAAGCAGCGTGAATACACGCATTGACAGACGGACAAAACTGCACAACCGACATAGATATGTATGTACATATGTATATGCCGACAATGCTATTCCATTAACCTCATTGCGAATTTAATTTACAGCAAGTTTAAGGGGATGACACAGTTGCTGCTGTTTCCCTTGCTCTCGTTGGTGTTGGATCGGTGCCAACAAGTGGTTCGCTCGGGTCGGTTCGGCTCCACTCGCTCTCGAGCACGCACTCACACACACCCACAAGAGCACACAACGCATTCCATTGCCTTTACTCTGTCTCAAGGTATACTAATTATCAGGTAAGCCCCATCCGGCTCTCCACGTAGCATACTTTTTTGGCATACTACATGATACTACCTCTCAAGCGGCCTTACCTTAGATTAGTATACCTTGAGCAGTGGCTCTGCATCTGTATCGGCATCTGTGTATTATCGCATGTACATATGTTAGAGTGCTGCATTGTCGTGTGTGTCGGCGTGTTGTGAAATGGGATGGCTTGGCTGGGCTGATGGGTGGGTGGTTGGTATAGGTGGGCGTGTGATTCGTGGACTGTGGTGGGTTGGTGGTTCGTTGTTGCAATGACAAAATACACATCACAAACAACATAAAAACGACAATCAGCAAAAGAAAAACGTCCAAAATGAAACTTCGAAATGCCACCGAAAACTGCCAAAGGGCTACACTAAAGGGTGCTAAGGGGGAAGAGCATCACCACAAAACTAGGGTGTGGTTGTTCATATATACACATCATATATGCGACATGGGGGTGTAGCTGAGTGTGTCTGTTCGAATGAGATCATAGTCCTGGATCAAGGACCAAAATGAGGCATTCCCGATCTACCGCTTAGCCCCGCGATCTACATATGTTCGCGGGCACTGCAATCTTGAGAGCGCTATCCGGTAATGCCTCACCTTGTATCAATACACCATGGTTTGGATGACTCTTTGAGGTAGGCAATGCCAATAACCGAAAGCGGGCTATATGCATAGGTACATACATAGATACATTCAGATATATAGACTATATTTGAAGCTATAAATATACATATCTATCGATGTACATATGCATTGATGTACGTACATACTTGTATTCATATAGTCATGAAAAACACACACGTAAATTATGAAAAAGCAACAGAAATGAGATGAGACAATGAGGCGCGCTTCTTGCCTTTAAAGCGTTTGAAATAATAGGTTTTAATATTGGAGCTTTTACTGTAGGAAACCTAGAGCCGCTGGTATATTTTGTTAGCTTCTGTGGCAGATCCATACCTCAATACGAGATTACTCTTATATGTTATATGGAGCGTCTATTATGGAGCCTTCTTTCAACATTTCGGGCGATCTCAGTTACATATTGGTGTATTATTTGCACCTCTGTCGCAGACTACCAGATTGTCTACCATTGAACTGTGTAGCTTGAATCCCCGACTGTTTGATTATTTCCACAACCATTGTACATATGTCACCCCAATATATGATAATATATTGTCCAACACCAAAGGACCACCATTTTTAGGCTTATAATGTAGAGCTTGAAACGAAATCTTAAATTTTTCAGTCACTGAAGCCTTCACGGTTAAGCCTCAGCATCCACTGGAAGTAAGGTAGGCCTACGGTTAGGCCGTAGCCGTAAATCGGAGCCTTTTTTTAGTCACCATCGACTCATTTGACGGAATCACGGATCAGCAATCTAAACCAAACTCAAGTTTTTTTAATAAAAATAAAATAATTTTTTGTTTTTTTAAGGGGGTCTAACCAAAAGTTTGTGTAATTACAAGTTTTTGAATACTTACAAAGATTTGGTGCCAATCGGATAACCACATAGCGGCTCGTTGCGCAATATTGATGGTAGATATCCGACACACTTTTAGCTGATCAAATGATGCATCGATCAAATAAAGCAGAGCTTATCTTGTCTGAGGTAATATTTCAAAGCTCCGTGTCCGCACTAGCATCGGTGAGGTTTTTTTTTTTTTTTCTTGGAGCTTTTAGAAATGTTTCTTTTCACCATTGTGTGCGGGCGCTTTAAAGGGGATTTTCTATTTCAAGCACTACTGTTTACTGTGGAGCTTAATCTTGAGAGTGTTCTAATCATTGAGCCTGTACTTTAAGACTACGACTTAAATACAAATCGGTGACTTGCGTGTAAGCTCTCCGCATGCTCACGGGCACACGAATTTGGTTAGGCTAAATCTTATGGACATCATGAGATATAGTGAAGGGGATAGATACAAATGAATGGTGTGCGACAGGGACAATTGTGGTGCGAGCAGATACAAATGTGTGCCTATATCTAGAGGGGAACCGATAGATCAGCTACCGATGGAACATTAAACCCCAAAAGTAACCGATCACAATTCAAGGATCCGTTCGGGGATAGTTGGAGGGGGTGTGGAGGGATCAAATCCATATATTTAGCTTAGCCTACGTATCAACTCACTCCATATCTGCCGTAAGAAGGTGAATCATAGGTGGATCCGCTCAAATACGCTGAACTAATGCGATAGGACGGGCTCGAGACCGACCCTCCACTTAGGTAAGACGCTGATGTGGATCCAACGCTGTTCCGGTGCAAGGTAGAACGCGGCGCATAGGACGCGGCCAAGTACGAGCTGGGATAGCAGCTGCTGGCGCTGCTGTAGCCTGTGGACGAGACTGAGCCGCCGGACGGAGGCAGAAACTTTGAGAGACTGCTGCCGCGATCGTAGTATGTGTTGCAGCGTGAATAACCGTTGGTGGTGGCCCCACCTGAAGCGCTGCCTGTAGCACCGGAGCCGGAACTGCTGTTGCCGGCGCCGTTGCCGCCGCTGGTCGACGACGATGTGCCGTAAAGACTGCCGCTGCCCGCCGCTGACGTTGATGATCCACGCGGCGCGATGACACGCATATTAGTAGCAGCAGCAGCAGCAGCAGTGATCCGATCTAACCGCAATTGGGCTGGGCTCCTCAGACCGTGCGTGCCGTCGTTGCTTGGCTGCTTTTTTGAAGGTGGCGGTGGCTGATTTGATGTTTGGTGGTTCCACGCGTTTTACTGTCGCTGAAAAAAAAACCAATTAAGAACTGATCAATCCTGAACAAAGGAAGTAGACCCCCCTTACCAACCTTGTCTATTCAGTTTTCCAGACTATTTGTATTTCGTTCGCATTCGATTCCTTTGTATTTGTCCAATCGACTTGAATGCTGCTTAAGTGCTACATCTGAGGATCCGGATAGCTGTGACCAGTGAAGCTGAAGAGGCGACTGTGTACGACTCGTACACTTTTTGTCTCTTCACTTGTGTTATGTGTTTCGGGTTTTCGGGTGAGCCCGACACACGATCGTGTCTCACAATAACAACTTAGAGAGACACTTTGGTCAAGCGCTCACAGCAAAAGTGTCTTTAGATGAGCAGAACCAAAAAAGTGTATGAGTAAAGTGTTTTTAGTTTTTTTTTCGTGTATATGTTTATTTATTCATGTTTTCCGCATCTTTTGGGCTATTGTATTGTAATATGTATATTTAGTTGCAAAATTGGCATACGAACATTTTCGTTTTGCTTTTCACGATTAATTTTAAGCTCCAATAGTCAAACCGTATAGAATTCACAAAAATTGATCGTTGCCATAAGCATCACACGTACAAGCACGCATACATACGCATTAGACACTTTATTCGTTCACTCGCGACAAGATGCTCAGTGAAAAACAGGAACAAAAGAGAAGTGAAGAAATCGGTCTTTGCTTGAGCGAAGAGCGAGTTGAGCAAAAACAGATTTGATCGGGTCCATTCAGTCCCTTTTCTCAATGTGTCCGTCAATGAGAGGTTTTTATCAGACACGCCAAAAGTGTCAACCGTTATTTGCGAGGTCTGTGTACGAGGGTGCAGGAATGAGATGAATAAACCAGTCGAACCGTGTGGAGTAGCGGCAACACTTGTAAGCCTATGATTTTTGTGCATATATATGTATATATACATATAAATACATATATATTTTTTAATTGTCGTAAACGCCGTCTATTACACCTAATGCGAGAGAGAGATCGAGCGCAAGGCAGGAGAGTCAGGTACGAGAAACTTCTTCCTCTAGTCTGGCTATTCTAATAACCTTATTTTTGGTATTTTTGTACTCTTCAAGTTGGTACCCACAAAGGTACCGGGCACAAAAACGCTAGCCCACGGATGCTGACTGGTCTTTCGCTTTTATGTGCAAATGTAAATCTATTTACAATATGTGTGAAAAGACAAGGCTATTAAGCTTTACTTGTTCATTGAATGCTTGACCGACTGAAGAACATGCCTATTATACGAGTATCTCTCCGGGACAATTGATTTTTCCGCAAATAAATTCATTATATTAATTAAATATTAATTAGCTGTTAAGGAAAATGTCGCAAAAATTGCAAATGTTTTTGCAGCACCTGCGCTTGGTTGGCTGCGGCACACGGGAAAAATCAGTTACTAATCCCCACACACGCACAATTACTAACACACACAAACGAACAAGCACACACCGATCATCAGCTGCGGCTCTTGTTTACCGCAACAACAAACAGTACCGTTAGGATTAGTCGTTGAAAACCTGATGTCGAGGGGGGGAGAAATAGCGTAGCCTTATTCGGTAACACTAAAATGAAGTTATATGTACGTGTAGGAGTGTGTGTAACGTAACGCCGCCAAGCTGTCTACAGTACAGTACAATACAAAGCGCACGATGTCATTGTAGCCGAAGATACCGATGACTTCCCTACAACTACAACATAGGGTAGTGGTAGGGCTTAACTGTTATAAAATGGGCCGACGCGACACATGGCCACACTATCAAATCGATCTTTCGTTCATAAAATACTACACAACTACAACCCATTCACACACACACACACACACACACACCTAGGCGCACCGTTTCCATTGGATACACATACAAATGCACGCGCACGCACTGCAATGCCTTTTCGAAAAGAAATAAATGAAATTCTTCAAGTTCACACACACAAACACACATCCATACGCACATTACGTTGTAAACTTTTTTGCCAATCGTTTACCACGTTTCATTTATTCACCAATTTGCGGTTTCTGCTTCTTTTCGATTAAATATACGTTTTCAATGCTTTACCAAACGTCAAAAATCGAAATATTTATAATCAACAACAACAAAATATAAAACGAAACGAAATAAATCTATTTATAAAAGCGCTTAAAAGCACATACACACACACACGCATGAAATTATTGTGTGTTGGGGCTGTCGGTTTGACAGTGAAATGAGTAGAGCGAACGGGTAATGGGGAGCGGGGAATAAGGGACGGCAGTAGTAAAAACGCCGATGAGCGTATACGAGCGAAAAGGATAGCACTATTGGCGACACCGTCACACACACAACCGAGCGGGAGCTCTCGCGCAACACACAAACGTTCACTCACATAGGCAAACAGGCAATGTACGAATTACGCAAAGTCAAATATCTTTCTCAAAATGGAAAGTGGAAAAGTGACGATTGCTATTGTGAATTTTTCTACCGTCTGATCACAAAACCAGAGCGCGGACACGACTAAAATTGGAGCGGGAGCCAAATAAAATTACAACGCAAAGCAGATATCACGAGCAAACAAGGTCGCGAGGGTAAAAAAAAAAACAATATGAATTATTTGTCTTTATGTTGCACTATAAGCTTTGTCAATTTACACGGCAAAAACTACATATATTTACTTAAAATCCGTTTCCAGCACAGCCACAGAACCCGCATTACAGTAGTGTAGGGATATTAAATTTGTTGGTCTGTATTAGTATTATAACCCTACATTTGTATTTACCTTGCTGCTAACTTATGATTATTAGTGCTAACATACAAAATTATTTACTATGTACCTTGTATGAAATATCGTACTTATCAGAATAGGTATCGATACAAGCTATCGTCCGATAGTTCTAATGTTACGAACTAGTTCTAGTTTTACGAACTAGATCTTTGAGAAACTTTATCAGAAGGAAAGTATGGATTTCGAAACGCCACTTTTGCGGACTCGTTTACAGCGGCAAGAACAAAAATATTTAATAATGGATATTGTTGCAATGTTGGATTTGGTAAAGTGGCACCCGATTCTGGCCACCATCACAAGTTTTGCTAGAACCACCTTAGCCTCAAAGCTAATACTTCAAGCATTAAAATATGGACGCCGTCGAGTCCACGAGGCTTTCTTTTTCAACGAACTTAGAGTAATTTGTTACAAGAAGCATGAGCGCCAGCCGCCACAACTGTTGAATGTGTAAACAAGCACAGCTTCAGAAAGTTGTTCGATATGGCTCAATACTCTATTGATATAGCCATATACACATTCACTTCTATGGATCTATTCTTGGCCATGCAGCGAGCACTGGAGCGGGGAGTGTCCATTTGCATTATCACCGATCACGAAATGGCCTATTCTAAGATATCGAAGGTATTGGAATTGGCTGCCTGCGGTTTGCCCGTGCGCGGACCTTTCACAACTAACGTAGTGATGAACCACAAGATCTGCGTGATGGATGGCGCGGCCCGAGTGCAAGAGATTCTGGAACTCAAGAAGCATAAATGGCCACTACCCTACAAAAGTAACCAACTACTATAACATACAAAAATAGCACACAATTTGATTTCCAAAATTCGGTTACTTTCCTCGTCATCAAACACACAAATCTATATCTATTCTCAAGACAGTTTGAAAAGTCTATAAGATGATAAATATCATCTTTTTCCCCAGGCTTTTGCAAAATTTGCATGGTGCGTTGACTACTCCAAAAACGCGTTTTGTAGTATTTTTGTCCAATCTTATGTTAGTTTATTGATACTATCTAAGACATGGAAAGGTATGTGACCTAGAGAGGGAACAAAATCGAACGAACTAAAACAATGGCCTAGCGAATATATTACATTTACGATGTTTACCCAAAATTACGTTACAATCTGATGATTTTTTTTACCAGTGTGACCGTCCTAAATAGCTAAAACATGCCAATTAATGTTTATTACCAAAATACCAACTCTAGCTGTTATAATCATCGCTATTGTCGGCCATCAAACAATCGATAGACCTGTTCATCTCTAGTATATACATTCTGAGTGAAAATTTATTCTCTGGTATCTAGTGTGAAAATTTCGTTCTAAAATTCGCTTGGAATTTATTTGCAGTTGTGCCCAAACGATTTGTTAGTGAAAAGCAATGTTACCGCATCTCTGATGCCCCTCGTGTCAGGTAGTGCCTGCCGGCGTGCCACAGCACCATTCATTTTATAAACAAATCGAAATCGCAGGCCGCAAATTGTCGCGTCGCATTACATTCAGTGTTGCCAACTCGGGGAATAGCTGGCTGAAGATTTTCCCCAAAATGCGAAAAGTTGGCTACACTGAAGTGGCGACTTGGGGTGCATTAAATAGGCAAAACACTAATTGGAAATGATCTTTTATAGCTACCCGTCTTGGCCAGCTGCAAATTGACCGAATCAGCTTGTTGGACATTCAAGCACCCAATTCTAGCCGGAAAAAGGCTGAACTGGCAACACTGCAGTCGCCAGAGCCGCCGCCGACACAATACTCGGGCAAAATGAAGTGAGAAAAGTCTGCTTTAAACACAAACTACAAAAGAAAACTCTTCGAATTCATATAATATAATAATGATTGCTATTTTTGTTCCATGTTTCTGGCAGTAAACCAAAGTGCACGTTGGCTTTTTGTTAATTTTTCGCAATTTTTGATTCGTGTCGTCATCTCGCCATCGTCATCGTCATTGCCATTGTCAATTGTCGCCCACCACCCGCTCAGACCCTCCCACCATCTTCGACAGTCTTGTGGGGGACACCTTTTGGCAAAACCCCGTTCCCAGTGCAGCATTGATTGAGCCCCACACCTCAAGCAACATCTCCTCAGCATCTCTCAGTCGTCATATTCCAATATACTGTTCAGGTGAGTGAGGCGTTCCGTTCCCTTGGGGGAACCCAAAACCAGGCCAAGAACAGACGTATTCATGGACCCATACGACTCTTTTCCAGTTATGTCATCGACTGCCGGAAAACGCAAGGAGATCTACAAATATCTCGCACCATGGCCGCTCTATTCCATGAACTGGAGTGTGCGACCGGACAAGCGGTTCCGCCTTGCCCTGGGCAGCTTCATCGAGGAGTATAACAATAAAGTGCAAATCATCAGCTTGGACGAGGACACCAGCGAATTTAGTGCTAAAAGGTTGGCTTGTCTTGGCTTTGGCTGCTCTCCGCTGAACGATTGATAATCTTGTTTCCTTCAGCACCTTTGATCATCCATATCCGACGACAAAAATAATGTGGATACCGGACTCGAAAGGCGTTTATCCCGATTTGCTAGCCACCAGCGGCGACTATCTGCGCGTGTGGCGTGCCGGCGAGCCGGATACAAGACTTGAGTGCGTTCTGAACAACAACAAGAACAGCGACTTCTGTGCTCCGCTCACGTCGTTCGACTGGAACGAGGTGGATCCCAATCTGGTGGGCACCTCCTCCATAGACACAACATGCACCATCTGGGGCCTCGAAACGGGCCAACCGCACGCCCGCGTCTATGTGGCGGGACATGTGAAGACGCAGCTAATAGCCCACGACAAGGAGGTCTATGACATCGCATTCTCACGTGCTGGCGGTGGACGGGACATGTTCGCCTCCGTGGGTGCCGATGGATCGGTGCGCATGTTCGATCTGAGGCATCTGGAGCATTCAACCATTATTTATGAGGTACGTGGGCCTGAGTGGGACGACCGGCAAGAATCCCATTTAACGGCATGCCCTTGCTTGTCTTTTGCAGGATCCTGCCCACACGGCGCTACTGCGTCTGGCTTGGAACAAACAAGATCCGAATTACTTAGCCACAGTTGCCATGGACTCGTGCGAAGTTATTATTTTAGATGTTCGTGTTCCTTGTACTCCCGTTGCAAGACTGAGCAATCACAGAGCGTGCGTCAACGGTATTGCGTGGGCGCCGCATAGGTAAGAACTGTCGGCTCTAGACGATATTGATGGGCTGCTCCTGGATCTTCGACTGGGCTTCCCCCCACTAATTTGATCTTGTTTGCTTGCAGTTCCTGTCACATCTGCACTGCCGGTGATGATCACCAAGCACTGATCTGGGATATACAACAAATGCCACGCGCAATCGAGGATCCAATTTTAGCCTATACAGCTGCCGAGGGCGAAGTCAATCAGATTCAATGGGGCGCCACACAGCCCGATTGGATAGCCATTTGCTACAACAAAGCGTGCGAGATCCTCCGAGTCTAAGAGTCAATTTTATCCCTGCCTGCCTCCTGCCTTTGGCTGTGGCTGTGGCTCTAAAGCACTTGGATGTAATTGCTAAACAACGCACAGTCAACCACAAGAACCACACATCCGCAGAACACACCCTCACATGTACACACACACACACACCCACACACACATTTGCTGTTGGTATTTCGGATGAACCTGAAGTGAAGGCTATGTAAGAGTGGATTTATGTTAAATCGGTTCCTCCGCATCTGTCACTTGTTTAATTCAAAGCTTTTGTCTGTCGTTTGCCTTGTTCCAGAACGAGCGAGAGAGAGAGAGAGAGAGAGAGATATAGTGTGAACAAGAGGGATAGAATGAGGCAAAGAGAGAGAGACAGATCAAGAGGATTCTAAAGAAGGATAGATAGAGAGCGTCGCGCTCTGATTGGATGATGTATGTATTTTTAGATATCTTAGCTTAGTTGATTATACGAGTATATAAGTCGGGAATCTATAAGGTATAACCAAAAGATGTATTTCTAACTGTAGTTTATTTAACCGTTGACGAGACCCCCCTTATAGCCATATGACATTCGACTTTGCTAACTTAGCTGCGAAGGGAGAGAGAGAGAGATAGCATCAGAGACAAATCGCAAAACTAGTATTCGTAGCCGTCTCCTTACACGACATCTCTCCCGACTATCAGTCGAGGCACTGGGACAAAATAATGTCAATAATCTCTGCCCGCAGCGCTGCTCCCAGCTGACGCATATATTTCGCCCGCAGCTAGTTAGCAAAGCTAAATGTCATATTGGTAAAGGCCATATGCCCGCAACCCAGAACAAATCAAATTGAGGCGCCTCCAATTATTTCATAATTTGGAAAAAAAAGTATAAAGAAGAGAGTGAAAGAAACGAACCAACAGTTATTTAAATGAAAGAAAAATGAAACAATGTCCTACCTCGTTTTCCCACACAGAATGTGGTTACCGTTAATGTGTCTGGCCACAGCAACACACCCACACACCCACACACAGACACACACATGAAAACACATTAAACAAAAAAGAGAGAAAAAAAAGCTTTTTCGAAATATGTTTACTTTGTTCGTTTTTTTTTTGTACGAATTCTACGAGAACCAAACACCCGAAAAACAAAGAGAAAGAAAAACAGCAGCAAAAGCAAAAACCATGGACTTAAGCAAATGCAAAACAAAATAAAAGGAAGAGAAGAGAAAACAAATAAGTTAAATAGGCGAAAAGATACTTACATATATTACCGAATAAAACTGAAATCAGAAAACCAAATGCACACGACACACAGCTAGAACACAATACTATCTAAAATACAAACTAAAGCAAACGCAAATACAAAACAATTAAAACGAGAAAAAAAAACCGAAATATATGAGCGAGAGAGAATACAAGATTGTTGCTATATCCATTTACCAAGCGAAAGAAAAAGAAGAAAAAAACACAAACGAAACACAAAGATAAAGAGAAACCAAACTACAAGCGAAATATGATAATTTCAAGAGTAAAGCGTTAAGACAGACTTTTCAAACAGCCCTCGCCATCGTCCTATCACACCAACACACAAACACACTCTCATCACACACCACACACTACTGCCCCGCAACGAGAGCTGCAAAAGTAAATGTAATAAGCTCTCGCAGCGTGAATAAGCAGGAAAGGAGGCAAGAATCCTCCGTGACAGGACAGGACGACAAATTTTAGAGCGTCGCCTCCTAATACTGCTGGGCAACTGTAAGAATCTCTCGCTGCCTCAGCGAGTCTGCAGGCAGTCTGCAGGCAGTCTGCATGGAAGCGAACAGCAGTGAGAGAGAGAGAGACTGAATGCCGTTGCGTAGCTTTTGGGGCCTCCATTTTGCACTCGAACCCCAACCGACTCCCACAGATAATCCTCCACGTCTCTGTGTACTTCTCCAAACAAGAATCGAATGACTTTTTTTATGCAACTTGTAATTTATAGCAATTTCACAACTTATATATACATAGATATATACATATATATATATAGATATATATATATATATATAATTATACATATATATTGCGGAAGGCGTGTTAGATATACCGATGCCGTGTAATCCGATGATCATGTATTGTAAATACAATATGGAACCACTCTTTTTAACAAAAACTCCAACCAACAATCAGAGCCAGTAAAAAAATAAGAACACACTTTTGAACAAGACTTAGCGCATGATTTTTTATAGACATGTAAGATACCTGCCTACACCCTGAATCAACCAAATACAACAATACTACTCCTCCCGCTCTTCACAATAAAACAAAACAAAACAAAACAAAACAAGAAAAAGACACAAAAATCATCATAAAGAGATGCTGTAATCGGATTGAACCGTTTTTGATACTTTGTACGAAACATCTTCATTGATTTTGCAAAATGGTTTCCAAGAACAAAAAATTCACATTCATGCATGTAGAAAATCCAGATCAGACAGATACATACATATGTATTACTTTCTTACGCATACATACGATATACATAAGTACGTACATACATACATATATGTACATATATTTCTTTCTCTGCTTTTGTTATACTTATTTCATTATTATATTATCCAACTGATTTATGGACATGATACAACATTTATATAGATACATACATACATACACAAACACCCACACATAGCATCGTATATAGACATCTGTACCAGGCTGGTAGTTAAACCAAGCGCACTAGGAGAAGTAGGAATGGTAGGACGCCGATTGATTGATTCATGAGGCGAGACGAGACGAGACGAGACGTGACGACTCGTGACGAGACGGGAAAAGAAAAGAAAAGAAAAGGTATGATGTATGATGTCGCACATCAGAGGTGGGCGAAACAAAATAAAAGAAACAAACCAAACAGACAAATATTTAAATAAACCATTTTTAAATAACGAATTTGCGTCTTAATCAAATCCGGTGATCGGCTGAGGGACTTTGGATTCGACTCTGGTTCCTGGACCTAGACGGGGGAAGAAACAGCGAGATTCGGTAAGACCACCTGGATCAGACATCTAAATGGATGCCGTGGCTTTCCCCTTGCTCGGACTACGCTATGGCCACTTTTTTGTTGACCTTCTCCTCTTTGAGTAGAGTCTGATGAACTATGGTCCTGTCGTTGTCGGTGTGTCGGTGATCTGTAAACGCTCACTGCTGCTCCTGAATGTAAGAAATCTGAATGAGCGGCTCAGGTTTGGGCTGATAAGGTTCACGTATGGTATGGCAGCGTTGATGGTGTACGGTCGCTTGTTCCGGTTCTCCGGTTGCAATGGAGGACGTCCTCATATGGTGCAGCGATATCTCTTTGTGTCGCTCATTGTGTATCATGCGCATCATCTTACCTGTGACAACAAGCAGTTGGAGATCATGATGAGGTTTACCAATAGCCGTATACCTCTATGCTTTCCCATAAGGTTTTTATATTTATACCGAATAACACACATACATATGTAACTATAACTGCGCGCCGTTCTCGATATGCGACACAATACAACACTATACGGGGGGCAATGATTTGCATGCTATTGAACTTAGCGTTGACTGTATCATAAATAGCCCACAACCACGAGCGTCTGCGGCTCCAACACACGATCACAAGTATTTGAGGTCTTTTCGAAAGCGGAGCGGAAAATGTATGCCAATAGCAAGGTTCTATCAAATGTTCAAATCCAAAATCGGAACACATTAAGAATTACATTTATGTGATTTATGTGTACATACATACATATGTGAGTATGTTTGTCTATCATCCTAAAACGAACAAGGGCTGGCTTTACGAGAATCCTTCATTTAAACAGAAAATAGGCTTATTCTTAAACGAAATTCTTACATTTCTTATGAGCCCCTATGTAATACTACAGTATATTTCTGCATCCATTATGTTGAGCAGACCACTCGAACACATCGATGTCTTTGAAACGATTGTGCTGCTTTTGCTGAGCCCCATGAGCCGTTCAAGTCCGCACCTGGCCGAGCGAGAGAAATCTAATCAGCTGAATTGGAATTTAGTAGTTTGACTTACAAATTAGAAAACTGCGACGTTTTAGCTGCGGGGCAAGCCGTCATCGAGACATTGAAAGTCGAGCGAGCAGTCCGATCAGACCACAACAGTCCCAGCCAGACCACACAGAGGTGACAGAACCAGCATGGGCATCAATGCAGATAAGGATATCGATATTTTGCGGCCACTCAGCGATAACGAGGTCGACGAGCTGCTCGGTCTCTACGAGCGGAAATACGGGCCCCAGAATTTCCACTATCTTCTGCTCTACAATCAGCGCAAATGGGACTGCCAACTGGCGGCGGCGGGTATAGCCAGGAACGATCCCGCTTACATTTCGCTGAGGAAACAGTTCTACACGCATCGCCAGGGGGACTTTCGACGGTTTGGAACCTACGTGAGCCTCCATCGGGACATAGTGCAGAGCGTGTCCTTCTTCAGCTGGCAGCCGGAGGGTGCTCGGGAGCTGTTCGAGTGCCTGGAGCGGACGAAACGGATTGAGTGGACGCGGGGCGCTCTCCTCACCAACGTAGACCTTGCCTTCTGCGAACGTGTCAAGGCTCTGGCCGCACAGAGAGGCGTCACCACGATCAATGCCCGTCAATGCTTCGGAATGGTGCTGTCCCACCCCAGGGCTTATACCGCCGAGGTGCCCGAGCTTTTGTCTGAGTTCGAGCTGCGTCCGCTGAGGGATGAAGACGCCCCCATGGTACACGCCATATGGCCCAATAAGGGGGAGGGCTCCCTGGCCTACCTGAGGGCCCTCATCAAATTCAACAAGACGATTGGCGCTTGTCGCAGCGACACGGGCGAGCTGATAGCCTGGATCTTTCAGAACGATTTCTCTGGATTGGGGTAAGTCCAGCCCCAAACATCGTGGTTCATCTCCATCGACTGACGATGGCCTGCTTCTCTTCATTCAAGAATGCTGCAGGTTCTGCCGAAGGCTGAGCGACGAGGCCTGGGTGGACTCCTGGCCGCTGCCATAACCAGAAGGATAGCCAGAGTCGAGCAGGTAACGCTGACCGCCTGGATTGTGGCTACAAATTGGCGCTCCGAGGCTTTACTAAAGCGTATTGGCTACCACCAGGACGTCATCAACGAGTGGATCAAGCTGGAGCCAGTTCCTTAGGAGGAGAGGCCGAGGCTTGCTGTTGGGTTGTTCGGGGCTTTCGGTGTTTGTTTGGCTTAGTGACTAGTTCCTATGTAGACATCATGCTAATCGTAAGCCAAGGGTCGCTTGGTGCGGTGCACCGCGGTTCGGTTCTGCTTGGGATCGGAGCTTTTCAATGAGGACACAAGGTGATTTGCAATTTCTATGCCTATGTATGTACATGGTCAACATTTTATTGTGGCATTTAACATGCGCACACGCTCTCTGAATACACTTTAAGGCTGCATCAAATTCAAAAACAAAAAGACGGAGAAGGAGGGAGGAGGGGTCTCATGCTACTTATTTACAAAACACTGAAAAACTCATCAAAAAGTTATCAAAAATACAATTTACAACATTAATTAGGGATTACTGCTGTGGATATCCACGCATAGTCGATAGCTGGGGGAACAGAGAGCTGAGTGGGGATCGGAGTGACCAGGGATCGGTATCGTAAATCTGGTTATGGTAAGACTACTAGACTATTTAGCTTTTAGCCTAGGGGGAGTGGGGAATAGATTCTCTAACTAATAACTAAACGAAGAGCAAGCGTGTGGCCGTCCCGCTGGGCATTCCACTCCCGTTGGCCAACAGGCTGTTGCCGCTCAAAGCCGAGCCCGGCTTGTGCAGTCCATTCGACATCTTGCCGTTCAAGGCACCGCGGTAGTACGGATCGGTTTGCTGCTGTAGCGGCGTATACTTAATGTGATTGCTTTGCGATAGCGGCAGCGTCGGCGGCTCTTTGGACCTTGTGATTTGCTTGGCGCGATTGTAGCACAAAACACCGACAATGGCCAACGTCATGCCTAGACAGTTGACCCACGTTACGGGATTGCCCAGTATGACCAGCGAGACAGCAATAACGAATATCCGTTTCGAGGCGCTAGCCACTGCATACGTCAACGGTGTGACCAACGACAGTACGCTGAACGCAATGATGTTCTGCAGCCAGTTCAGGACGCCGTCAGCAAACAGCAGGGCAATCACGCGGTAGTCCATGTTCTTCTGCAATTGAAAATTTTTAATTTTTTTAATATGAAATTTAAAATAGTGGTCAAAATGAACGGGAATGGAATGGAAAATCGAGTTGGAAACATCAGCAGCTGGATGTTCTACTTCACTTGATTAAAATGAACTTTTTCCGTCTTCGTACATATTTCTGCGGGAGTTCTATTTTCAAATATTCAACGAAACGGAAGAGACCACTTCAATTAAGATAAGATAATTAATTGCTTTATTAGAGATCGCTCTCTATGTCTGCCATCCTCCACACTGAAGCGAGCCAAGAAGTACTTACAATAGCCGAGTGGCGAAAGACAGCTAAGCTGTCCATGTACAGCCAGATGGGTAGGAAAATGAACAGCGACAGCTTTCCCAGCAGATGGAGCAGCCGCAGATGATGAATGTTGGTGTCCTTGAGCACCTGAAAGTGTGATAAGAATTCATTAGCATGGGACTTTGAGAAGTGGCAATGGACTTACCTTCTTGGAGAAGATGTTCTGCATGGAGAAGCCCATGGTGGAGATGAGGGCACTGACTAGGCCCAGCATATCGAATGAGATCTCCGTGACTGTGGCAATGCCAACACCAGTGATGATGGGTAGCAGACTCAGGTACACAAGGGTTGGTTGCTTCTCGTTGAAGAAGACGCGCGTCAGCACAACGGTGAAGAGAGGCATCGTCGCCTTGACTGGGTCGTCGAGAGGTGCGTGCGGTTGCGTGCGTGTGAGAGGGTAAAGTTAATGTTGGCACCAGTGTTGCTGACGTGTTGAACGAGGGTTTTTTTTTTTTGATATGCATGGATGTGGCTACTCACCAGTGTGTGCATAGGAGACAGGGACCTTCCACAGCGATATGTGAGAGGTGACTGAGGCGAGGAGCTTGCCAATAGCTAGCGGGACGATCAGGCGCATGTAATAGGCGCGCGGAATTTCCTGGTACTTTCGTATACGCCACAGGTTAAAGAAGGGACCACTGTACAGCGTGATACTGCAGAGCTGAACCAGGGTGACGGTCATGGGGAAGGGGAATTCGTTGAGCACCATTTTTCCAATCACATTGTTGCTTGACGAGATGACGTACCAGAACAGGCACATCATCAATACAACGGCAACATGACGAGAGCTTGTCCGCTTGCCGCCCAACATGTTGGTGTCCGGATCGGATCGTCGTAGCTGTCGCTGGCCCTTGCCTGCTTTTGTCGCAGTTACACGAATGTGTCGCCTGTTCCCGGACACTTGGAAGCCGGCGGGTGGGGATTTGTTGCTGATTTCGGCACGTTATTGCATTGCGATACTTGGTTTTAAACATAAAACGTCGTCTGTTTGTTTTCTACGTGTACCCGTCAGTGTAACCAGATGCCCCAATAATTTATCGGTTCGTTGCGTGCTATCGCTATCTTGAACTGTAGATTGGTCTTGAAGTCTGGTGCAAAATGGAATATAAAATGTGAATGGATTATTTAATTAGCATGTAGATATAAGTAATAATTCGAATATATTGTTTTTTGACTTGGGATAACATTTGTATATACGAAAATCCTTACAAAATATCGTCGCAACTATCCCCACTAGTACCAAAAAATACTACTAGATCAAAAATTAAGATTTGGCGCGTAAATATTATGGTTGGGGGAAGTGGTGTAAATATACATATAATCGTTAAAACAAATACTTTAAACTCATTTTATTAATAGATCAACCATTTTAACACTTTGGTTGAGCTATAAAACTTTGTTGGAAAAACACGCATCAGTGCTCAAACTCAATAAATCGACTTTGTGCAAGTGTAAGCACGAATTCTGATTTGTCTAGCTCAACTATCGATGGATAACTCATGTTAGCTATTAAGTGTGGCTTGTGTGTGTGTAGCCACTAACTAAACGGTATATAGATGTTCCAGTTCATACTGCGAACATGCTGAAAAGCGAACACAGAAAACCAAATCCCAGGGTCTACGGCTCTGATGTTCGGCTACCGCCGCGTTATCATGAGCCAGCCAGCAGAGCAGTGCTTTAAATGTGTTAGTATAACACGCAAAAAATGTTTTCACAAAAATATCTGATTGTATGCTTTTCCGTTTTCAGAGCTTTGATTGCTGCTTTGATGTCTGTTTTCTGTTGTGCTTCCAGGTCGTTTTAATTTGAGTTGGGCTTTTTTTTGAGTCTTCAGCTTATTGATGAACAGACCTGACCGTCAAAAAATAAATGAAGAATGGGCAGGATGGGTGAGCTTGAGGGACACTTGAGCGTGAAGCTGTTATTTTTTGGTTTATACTACACAATATAAAATATTACAATACAAAATACACATTAATATCCTTATTTTAGACAGGTTGATTAAATTATACAAATATTATGTAAACGCCGGCTTTCGACTTCTTTGTTTATCACATATGTATAAAAAAGGAATTTGAACTAAAATAATGCCATTTAAAAAAAAAATATATATACTAAAATAAATATGCATACATTATGCATATGTACATACATTCAAATCAATGGTCAATCGCGCGCTTTCCGATGAGACGGTAGATTTTGGTATATTTCTGAGGGTCAGAAGAAATAGTTTCACTAATCGAATAAAATTATGTGGGCATGGCTAAATGTTCTATTTATCTAGTAATATTCCACGCAATATCAAAAACGAGGAATATGTAAAATAGAACTTGAATTTGTCAGTATATTTACGGTATATTTTTAAATTGAGACGGTATATTTCGGTATATTTCTGAGGGTCGGCCGGTATATTTTATCGATAAGCCCGAACTGATGAGCAGATACAGAATTTACTCATTTCATTTGACAACTACGATTTGATCGGATAAAATACAAAAACAAGATGAACCGTTCTCGCCGAGCCACCTCAGCTAATAGCAAAGCATTTGTTTCCGGAGGAGTTTATGTAAGTTTGCCTACAAATTACTTAGAGAATCTTATGCTCTGGTTCAGGGGTGGGCAGGCCTAAGAGGCCAGGTGGATGCACAAGAAACAAGAAAAAACTAAATAAACAGTGTGCGTGTACGTTGCTCGGGACCAAGATTGCAAAAGCAATACCTCATGAGTGTCACGCTCATGAGTGTTATTTTCTGTTTTTTCTGCTTCCTAAGCTCAAAAGCGTGCCCACTACTGCACTGGTGTATTAGTGTGATGGCCTCATGAAACACCAACTTACGCACTCACCACATCAATTGCCAGAAATTCAGCTTTGCAGCCGTTTAAAAAGGGTCCGAATTTGTTAGACAAAGGGTATTTTTATATGAGTATAGTGTTAAGTAGATACATTGTACATATGCACTTATTAGACAATTGCATGGCTCCATTCAAAACATATGTAAGTCCAATAAAAAAAAAGAAATGAATGCGACGGAATAGCCTCAAACATTCGGATTACCCGAATTTTTGCATGCGCACTCTATGCATTCATTCGTTGCTTGGGCTTTTCGTTCTTCTCGCTCTTTTTTCCCTTACGCACAGCAAAGCAACAACAATTGAAAGGCTATTGCTGATACCGTTGCCAAATCAGCTATTTTTTAGCTAGTTCTGGCTATTTTAAAAGTTCGACTTGTATACAAATTTGAAAATCGATGTTAACCGGAAAGCTGAATACTCAATATATTTGTTAAGCTCTGTTCCTCAAAAGTTGAGGAGTGTCCTCCAGTTACCCCCCAAATTTACAGGCAAAAATATGGAATGCACTCGAATTTCACCGTACTCACTCATTCAAACTCTATCGGCGTAGCAGTCGAATTAATTCAATTCGTTTTGCGCATTGGTAATCCGAATGCCGGGGTTTTGCCATTTATGCAGACCTCTCATCCATATGTATGCATGTAAACATACAGAATAGATACATACATGCAAATGTGCATTTTTAAATACATATATGCATACATAGCTAACGTTTTTCAAGTTAGAAAAGTTGTTTTTCTTCGACGTCGTTAAATAATAGATCATGCTGTTTCATTTCGTTTGAGCGGTGTCGAAAAATGAACTGCGTTCTAGGCAATAACGTAGCTTCTGAGGAGAAAAATGTGTGCATTAAAAATATGTACATAATTTGTCAAGGTAAAGTCTTGGTACAAGCGCCAACACATCTATACATTATGTGAATATACATACATACATCCTTACACAAAAACCCACAACTACTCCCATACTACACATGAACACGCAAATACATACACACATACATACATACATACATACATACATACATACATACATACGTGTTTAAATAATTTTGTTGAATTCCTTTAAAAACTTAAGAAAACCTTTATTGTAATAACTGTATTTCTGTTTTTTTATTTATATAATTTGCAGCGCACAATATGAAAATGTGTGTGTTCAGCCCCCAATTGTGAATTTATTTGCAATAGCCATAAAAGCGGGTTAATCGAAAGTGCAGACAGGTCACCGAGCTGTATCAGCACCAGAATCAAAATCCGTATCGGATCCCGTCTCGTCCCGTCCCATCCCATCCCATCCCATCCAATTCCACAAACATATCAGTATCCGAAGTAAACCCACAGAGTTCCATTTAAGAGACTTGAATCGACTGGAGCCAGCAATTACGATAGAATTCAGCTGGACTTGCGGTTTTCGCAGGCTTTTATGGCTACTGAAAATTCATTCACACGAAATTGTAACTTAAAATTATTAGTTTTGCGCTAGATAGCAATGCTCATTTACTTCACTGATAGTACCCAAGACGAAACACCAGTAGCCAAGGGCCGAATGAGCCAACATGGCGTTCAATACGCACAAAAGTCGCATTGAACGCCAGCGTTGGGGTCCGGAAGGCCCTTGGCCAGATACGAGAGAAACCATCCTTTGATCGGCACATGGTTTCGCTGAGGCCGAGTTTCGTTTTGGGTCACTTTGGTTGCAGGAATGGTCATGGCTAATTCCTGAACTATGGTTTTTAGTAGGACCGAGCTCCCGTGAGTCTCCCGCGAGCCACCCACTTCTGATGTAGTAGATCGATTGACTGGCATGTAAGACGATTTTGATTGGTAAAGATATGTTTTTTTGGTTGATCCTAGGCAGCCTCACAGCATCACTGTTGAAGCTTCCCGGGAATCTAGCTCAGGCACTGGATACTCTCTTTTTCTTAGAAGAACAAACCACATACAAAAGAAAATAAACAAAACTGCTTCCCATTTTTGCTTTTTCTTGATGAATAATGAAATTTTTCAATAATTTAGAATCCGAATGTCGCGGCCAAGCCCTTGATTCAACCGCCGGCAAATGCTCTGTCGCAGGCATCTCCAGTGTCGGCGCCTACCCCGACTCCAGTGCCGGCTCCAGTTGCAGTCAAAGAGGTGCAGGCAAAGAAAAAAGATGCACCGCCATCAGTTAGTGCCTTGCCCATTCCAATATTTGTCAAGGATGAACCCGTTGCCATGGCCGAGGACGAGTCGTCGCCCATCGAAAGCGCAAGCGAAGGGTTTTACATCGACATAAGCGCCGATAATGGCAACGGAGGGAAAATCCCGTTCAAGAAGATCTTCCAGAAGCGCAAGAAGTCATCGGGTAAGCACCGGCATCCCAGATCCGACACGTCTTCAACCTCACTTGCAATCTAATGATAGTTTGATACGCTTTGAATTTTCAGAACGCACTCGCGATAAGAAGCAACGCCAGAATCGCCAGCTACGCAAGTCGATGTTGCCGAAAAATGCCCTAATGGCTCTCAACGAACTCAAGGGCGTTAACATAAGTGATTTTACCATCAATAGCAATCCTGATGGCGGATTCACTGCCATACTCACGGTCAACTCGAACCAGTACCATGGAAAGGGGCTCTCCAAGATGGCGGCGAAAAATTTGGCCTGTGAGCATGCACTGCGTGATTATATAATTGCCAAAATGAAGCCAAAGCCTCGCAAACCGAAGAATATTGCTGTGGAAAACCAAGCATCGACTGGCCCAGAGCCCATGGACACCAATGGAAGCGACACTGAATCACCCGAAGACGAATTGCCAATGCTCAATTTGGCATCGTTTGCAATATATAAATTATTCAGCGAGTGGGAGCGCGACGGTTACGTTGTGCCCGAAATGCATCCATCGGCAAATGCACAGCCGCAGCAGGGAGACGCCAATGCAGCAGTTCCCGTCGTCCCCAAGGAGCCGAAGAAGCCACCAGTGCGTGCCGAATTGCCCCCAAACTGGCAGACCATGCACCCGGCCACATTGCTCTGCATTGTAGGTTCACTCAGATCAGAGAACGTAGTAAAACTCGAACTTACGTGACCAATGTTCTTTTTGTTACCTTTTTAGATGCGCCCTGGAATTGCGTATGAGGACTATGGCACCGCTGGCGACAAGCCCAACGTGCCCCAGTGTCTCGGTGTGATTGTTGACAACCAGGAGTTTACGGCCAATGGACGCTCAAAGAAAATAGCACGTCGAAATGTTGCCGTGAATGTTTGCAACACATTGTTCGGCACCAATTTCACATATGAAGAGTATTAAGCTACATCAGACTAACGCAGACTAACTACTATGTATAGTAAGTCAGTTAATTGTTCGATGTACATATGTGCATCAATATGCTTCTGTTGTTCAATTCAATTAAATTTAAATCTAATTTTCGTCAAAAGCTAAACTCTGGATGAATCGCGATCCATCATCCATCAGCATTGGACCGTATATTGAACATTATCGAACAATTACCGCAAGTCTAAAATGTATCCATTCAAGTTGTACCATCTGATCTGTAATCTCCTGTACGAATAAGTTAAACAAAACAAATGTATGTCATATTCAAGATAAACATTTATACTATCTGTTGAACTTGTACTGTTGTTACTCTCCTCCTATGGGTCCACTGAAAAACCAGTGCCAACGATTCCTTCTATTCTATTCACTTTTGAGTTTCCGTATCCTTTTTTCCAAAGTTCCACAAATACTGTACATGGGACCTTTGTCGGGTAACTGGGCTGGAGCTTTCAGCTGCATGCAATGGTAAATGACCAATTTTGTATCCAATTAAGACGCATTTTTTGGGGCGTATTTTGTTTTTACTGGAACCAGAATGTCTTCAGATTATGCCCAATTTGAATGGCACTTGGACGAAAATTGTCACTCGAAATATTTGTTGTAACATGTCTTTGTTCATGTGTTCTAATGAACACAAAGGTAATCCTTTGGTGTGAATACCACTCGTCAAGCTCCAGCTGCACCTCCTATACGCCCCAAACGACTATTTACGGGTGCTTTTCGCAAGACTTTGGGAGGAACCCAAAGGCAGATTCATGAATGGAGAATGTTTATTGTTTACATCAATAGCCGAGTCGATTGAGCCCTGTCTGTCTGTCCGTCTGTCCGTCCCCTTCAGCGCCCAATGCTCAAAGACTATAAGAGCTAGAGCAACGATGTTTTGGATCCAGACTTCTGTGATATGTCACTCCTACAAAAATATTTCAAAACTTTGCCCCGCCCGCTTCCGCCACCACAAAGAGCGAAAATCTATTGCATGCACAAAATTGCAGATTCAAGAAAACTAAATACGCAGAATCATAGATAATGACCATATCTATCAGATTGCTGAGTCTGGATCAGAGCAGATCATTTTTATAGCCAAAAGGAACAAATCAATTTGCAGTGGCTACGCAGCGCCCGACGTCACGCTCAGACTGATTTTCTGTCTCTCTCGCACGCACTCGTCGTCGTGTCGTCCAATATTAGCGGCGTCTGCCGGAGGAGAGCCATACTGACCAAGTATCGGGTATAAATGTAGAGTTGCGGCCTCCGCAGCAACTCACAACGTTCCCCCTCGTTTTAGTTTGGGACATATGAGACTTCAAAGTTGTTAGCGCTATACTCAATTTATGCACACACTGCATCTTTATAGTAGATTAAAAAGTAGACTATATATCATGATGATTATCTTTTCTTGTGTGTCTTCATTATTATCAATATAAAAATGGTATGTTGCATCTACCGTTTTTAAAAAACAACTGTTTTCCAAAGCATCTTTTATTTTTGGCTAGTTTTCCCACTTTGACTTAACTTTCAGGAAAAAATTTCCCTGTATTTCTTTCTTTTCAAAGTTCTTTGTACATTTTTTACCTAAGCTTAGAAGCCCAACTGGCTGCAATTTGGCTTCCAGATCGATTTAAGAGTCGTAATTTCGCATAAAAACAACCAAAATAGCGCTGCCGCAGGTATAAAAAGAACACAGAATAAAAATGATCAAACCAACTTTTAACGAACAACAACGAAGGCCCGACTGTGCGACGGGAATGTTTCGCCCAAATATGGAATGTGCAGCTATAGGATTCTAACGCAAAGATAATGACTGAATGGCAGAGAAAAGTTCAATTTGTATTATTTTCGTATGAGCTTTGCGCCAAACCGAAGAGTAACGGAAGTCTGGCAGCGCCTGTCTCTATATTCTCGATACACAACATTAGTGGTGGCAATCACATTCGATACGAAACTAACAGAGTTGTCACATAGCCAGATGGCCAGTGACAGCTGATTTTACTTTTCAATTCATAATCACGACGAAAACTACCGAAATGTCGAAATTACTCTCGTACACAGCAAGAATTATTTTGCGTAACTCACGCATCACCGTCAGGCAGCTGTAAGTGCTCCTTGGCGTTTCCATCAACCATGGATGATCTTTATTCGATTCCCCTACGCAGCGGCCAGGAAGGTGTCCGAGGTTTTGCGGGTTTCGTGTCAGGGCAACGTAATGCGCCGCAGCCGGCTTATGGGCGGCCAGTACCAGGACTCTTACGCCAGAAGATGGTATCGTCGATTGGGAAGCGTAGCATGTTCATTCAGACGCAGGACACACCGAATCCAGACAGTCTGAAGTTTCTGCCCGGTGTCGAGGTGCTGGGCAAGGGCAATACCTATGATTTCCCCAGTGGAACGGCTGCCCACTGCAGTCCATTGGGTGAGTGCCACTGCTAACTGAAGGACGGTCAAAGCAAGTAACCATCTCAACACTCTTTTTTTCGTAGCCAAATTGCTATTCCGCGTTGAGGGCGTGCGGGCAGTGTTTTTTGGCTCTGACTTCATCACTATCTCCAAGGAAGAAAGTGCCGAGTGGAGTCTGATAAAGCCAGAGGTATTTGCCGTCATTATGGACTTCTTTGCCAGCGGGTTGCCCATATTGCATGAGGCTCGACCCAATGCCGATACCGAGATACTCGACGACGACGACGAGACAGTAATGATGATCAAAGAGTTGCTTGACACACGCATCCGACCTACAGTGCAGGAAGATGGTGGAGACATCGTCTTCATAAGCTACGAGAACGGTGTCGTCAAGTTGAAGATGCAGGGCTCCTGCTCATCCTGTCCCAGCTCGATTGTCACCCTAAAAAACGGCGTGCAGAATATGCTGCAGTTTTACATACCTGAGGTGGAGTCCGTGGAGCAGGTCTTCGACGACGCCGACAGGATGGCCGATAAGGAGTTCGAGCGCTTCGAAAAGAACCTTAAACAAAAGGAGCCCGCTGGGGCGCCGGTGGGCATAGGCGGTGGCCCCAATTAGTTATCGATCTGTTGTTATAATGTTTGCGTTGCTAATTCTGTAGTAAAATCCTAGTTATACACATATGTAAGTCCATTAGCTTTAATTCTTTGAGGAAAGTTCGTTCTCTGTTGCTCGTCTAGAGCCCCAATACCCAAGCAGAGTGCAGGTTCCTTGCCATCGCAATAAAGCGGTGCACAATCGATTGGGGACTGCGCAAGGTCAATAATTTGCATACTCCCAACCCGTCTTGTCCCAATTTAAGCCAACCCCCCGCCACCACCTCACAAGTGGGTCAATAAACCCGTTTTATTGCCATTGATTCTACAAGAACAGAGAGCAAACCAATGCCAACCAAAGCCGCTGCTACAGCAACCAAGTTTAATCAATAATTAATTGACAAGCCAAAAGCAAAGCACGACTAGCGACTAGCGAGTCCTAATCTCCGCGCAACTGCAGTCTGGAGCAGACCACTGACCGTACTTGCTCCAGCCAGAACGCCAACCGGGACCGAACATACATAATACATACCCTCAAGCTTAACCGATGCTCTGCTGGGCCAACGAGGATCACTTTTTGAGCCAACGCTATCCAAATCCGCAGCAAAAGGCACCTGAGACGCTCAAGAATTTGCTCCTGCGTTCCAGCGTGCCCATTGTGAGTGACAGGGTAGACAGCACCGATATGGCACCGTTGAAGGGGCAAGAGGTCACCAAGTTCCACAAGCACTCTTTTCTCGAAAATCGCATCTTCGATCATCGCCTGGTCAAGGACAATCTTCTGGACAAATGGCCCACCGCTGACATGAACGAGTACCACGAGCGCAAGGATCATCGCAATCTCATGGAGTCCTATGTACCATCTAACTCAATCAAATCATATCATATCATATAATTTTGCACCTTGGCATCCAGCACCGAGCACCCAGCACACCCAGCTGGGTGACTTTGCTGTACAAAGTCTGATCCATCAAGCAGGCACAGGAAAAGTTGCAGCTTTGGTTTCAGGCTCTGTCAGTAGATTCAGTCATTCCTCAAACAGCACAGCACGAGCACACATCGAGATCGATTGTTACGCTTTCAGTTTTCGTAGAAAAATCACAAATTTGTAGTTTCTTACATTTCCTACATTTTTACAACAAAATTACAAGTGGCACAAATTCCCAGTTCTTCACGCGCACTCGATCTAAGCTCCCGATTCAATCGAGATGAGCCAACAGCACAATGACAATACGGGCAACAGCTCCGGTGTACCGCCAACCACAATTATGTATTCCCAATTACAGCCCTGGAGCCATGCGGGTGCTCCGCCCTGCATGGAACCAGTCAGCGGACCGACAATACCACCCCGTGTCGGCACCGCCTACGAGACTTCACAGCGCCATCCGTGGCGCCCGGCCATGGCTTTCGAGCTGATCCAGGTGAAGCATCTGCCGGAGCAGCCGGTGACCAATCAACTGACGAAGCAATGCTTCGTGCCAAAGGGCATGAAGACCGACGGGATGATCTTTCCAAATCTGGTCACCGGCTTCGATCGGAATCCCCAACATGCCGCCCGGGCTGCCCTCTACACGCGATATACCAACAACGAGTGGTATAACAATAACATGACCAAGTACTCCGAGTCCAACATGAATCGGTGAGTAACTGAAGAAAGCTACATATGTCATATGAATATGGTTTAAATATGGTTTCCTTTTGTACTCCATTAGCAATCTGTCGGAGCGGATGCGGAATGATGCAGTGCGCCTGATGCGCGAAGCTGACGAGAAGGCCACTTCAGGGCAGCGAGATGCAGGCCGCCGCCTAGGCGAACGCATCACTGATTTGACCTTCTGGCGCAACGAGTTAAATGCCGAGCTGGAGAAGCTGATCGCCGAGATGGCCGACATTAACGAGCTGCAGCGGCAGTGCGGCAAGGCATTGCTAGATCTGGAAATACCACTTCACATCGCCCAGGAGTGTCTATTCCACCGGGAGTCGCGCCAGGGCACCGAGAAGGTACACGATATCGTGGAAAAGGCCCTTTTGGTGGAGATTAACAATCTGAGGCTGTCGCGTGATCGGCTCAGTGGGTTACATGAGAAGATCTCCAAGCAGGCACTCGATTGCCGTGGCGCCCAGCACCTGCTTGAGGACGATGTGTCACACAAGGAGTCGTCTCTAGGCATCGACTCGATGTGTCACCAGCTGAACAACTACAGTCGTGGCATCGCCTATTACGGCGGCATCGAAAAGTACGATCCCTCGATCAGCACCCAGGAGTCGTGGGCTCAGGCCAGCAGCGAGCATGTTAGACGGTGAGTTGGTTAAGGTCTGGGTCGGGTTGGACATTAATAAAGGTTTTTTCCTGTCACTCCAGTTCGCAGGCTGAGCGCGCCAAGTTGTCCCAGTTGCGCAGTGATTCCCAGAACGTGGTTAATGCGGTGGCTACCACCGTGTGGGACTTTTGGAGCAACACAAACAATGCGTTCGACAGACGGGCCCAGGAGATGGCCGAGGCCAAGAACCGCGTACAGCTGCACTTGCAGAAGGTGCAGCAGGAGCTGTTCGATATGGAGAAGCACCTGTTTTTGCTCCAGAAGGCCATACAGGACAAGTCTATGCCGCTCAAGGTGGCCCAGACGCGCCTCGAGGCGCGGTGCCATCGCGAGGGTGTCGAGCTCTGCAAGTAAGTGCAGTTTAGGATTTGGCACCTCTGATTTATTCATGTGATTCAATTCCTTTTAGGGATCATGCCCAGGATCGGTTGGTTCAAGAGGTGTACGACATTCAAGGCGCTGTGGATTCTCTCCACCACAAGCTGCAGGAGTCGGAGGCCACACACCAGGGCCTGCTGAAGACCCGCTGCACTCTGGAAGTGGACCTGCGCAACAAGGTCAATGCCTTGTTCATCGACCGGGAGAAGTGCATGAGTCTGCGTCGCTCCTTCCCAGTCAGCAACTTGATTCGCTATTAAAATCTATGAAAAGTGTACTCTAGGTTGCAATAATCATTTATTCTTCACTCAAATGTATTACATAAATTTTCAGAAGCAGTAGTAATACATTTATTTACATAAAATATTTTGGTGCCGTGCCACTTTACATTCAAATTAACCTCTAGTGTCATAGACATCTGGCAACTCTGCTGCAACTATCGACTTGACTGGTGTAGGTGCAGCAGGAAAACAAATAAAAGCAGGAAATTATATGAACCATTAGGTGTGACGTATTTTATTTTTAGCCAAACTATAATTTAGCTTGCAATAAAATCAGTGCCTAATATTAGCAGAGAAAACTCTCGTAGCCGATATCTATTCGATACAAGTGTCATCGCTACTTGGCCATCTCTACGTACGTGTAGCACCAGTCTTGCCGTTTTTAGTGCACTTTACTAAATAATAATTCGTACGGTAAACGCTTTTGTTTCCGCCAAAAAGGTGCTGGGTTCATATCTAAAATTAATATATAAAACTAAATTCAATAGGAGGTAGCATAAAATCATCATTATTGCAGTAATAGCAGAGTAACATGAAATACTAACCGGCGACCATATTTTAATTGCCATTTCCACGCATTTTTCCACTCAAGTGTCATTAGAGACCACTGTCGCGCCAGACACTAAACATTTTCTGGCTAAGTGGCTGGCTTGGTGGTTACATAGGAGTCACCCAGTGATTGGGTGGTATTGCAGGTACATTTGCCTCTCAATTGGAGGTCAATAGTTTGGGGCTGTTGTCTGACGTGTACATTTAGATAACTTTACAAACTTAGTAGGTCAATGAACCAGTTGATTTAACCTGAAAGTATTAGATTTATATATATAGATATATATATACATATGTCATAATTAAATGTATCCTATATTTTCATGTTCGAATACGAAAACAACTTGCACAGCGATTTGAATCTATCTCTCAGCGGTCAAGAATCAGAGAAGAGCCCGAAGGGCAATAAAAATAACATCAGAATGGGCTACGCTCTCTGTGTTTTGGCCGTTGCCTGCGCCTTGGCCGCCTATGCATCTGGCGTCGATCCAAGCAATTTCAAGACATGCGAACAAAGCAGCTTCTGTCGGTCAGTATCAAGACCATCAATTGTTGGCCTTCATCTTCATTGTTGACTCATCTTTTGATTGCAGCCGCTCGCGGAAGGTGCAGAGCACGGGCAGCAAGTATGCTCTCATACCAGGCACCTTGAACTCCTACATGGACTCGCTGACGGGCGATCTGATTAACAAGGAAAACCACCATCTGTTCTCCTTCAAGCTGGAGGCCCTGGCGGGCAGCACGTTCCGCCTGCAGATCGACGAAAAGCAGCCGCTGCGACCCCGCTATAAGGTTGAGCATGCCCTGAAGGGACAGCCCGAGGCCGGGCACATTCACGTCCACAAAGAGACCGATGGTGAGATCATCATCACTTCAAAACACACCAAGGCTGTCATACACGGAGATCCCTTCCATATTGATTTCTACGAAAACGATGTTTTGGTTGTGTCCGTCAATTCCAAGAACTGGCTTTACTTCGAGCATCTGCGCCAGAAGCCCAAAGAGCCGACCGAGCACCGCGATGGCGATCAGGAGGACCAGGACGGTGCTGTCGAGACACCAAAATTATCCGACTCAATCGACGACCCCGGCGCCTGGGAGGAGAACTTTAAATCGCATCACGACTCCAAGCCCTACGGCCCAGAGGCAGTGGCCCTAGACTTCTCCTTCCCCGCTGCTGAGGTTCTCTTTGGCATACCCGAGCATGCAGACAGTTTTGTATTGAAATCGACGTCTGGCACGGATCCCTATCGTCTGTACAATCTAGATGTTTTCGAGTACGTTGTGGATAGCAAGATGGCCTTGTATGGCTCAGTTCCGGTGATCTACGGCCATGGGTATGTGCTAGTTATAATATCAAATAACCATTATGATAATCATTTTATCTACAGAGCACAACGCACTGCTGGCGTTTATTGGCAGAATGCAGCAGAGACCTGGGTGGACATCCAGACGTCAGAGACAAATGTTGTCTCTTCGCTAGTTAACTTTGTTTCCGGCTCCAGGAAAACACCTCCGCCGGGGGCTCATTTCATATCCGAATCGGGCATAGTCGATGCATTCATCCTGTTGGGTCCCAAGCCATTGGATGTCTTCAAGCAGTACGCGGCCCTCACCGGCACCCATGAGCTGCCGCAGCTTTTCTCACTGGCCTACCACCAGAGTCGCTGGAACTACAATGACGAGCGAGATGTGACCGCGGTATCGGCCAAGTTCGATGAGTTTAATATACCCATGGACACCATGTGGCTGGACATCGAGTATACCGATGGCAAGCGCTACTTCACGTGGGACAAATTCAAGTTCCCCCAGCCGCTGACCATGATCAAGAATCTCACCGAGCTGGGCCGTCATCTGGTGGTTATTATCGATCCCCATATCAAACGAGACAATGGCTACTTCTTCCACCAAGACTGCACAGAGAAGGGCTACTATGTAAAGACGCGGGAGGGCAACGATTACGAGGGCTGGTGCTGGCCGGGATCTGCCAGCTATCCGGACTTCTTCAACCCGGACGTGCGGCAGTACTATGCCAGCCAGTTTGATACATCCCGGTTCCAGACGGTCACCACAGATGTGATGTTGTGGAACGACATGAACGAGCCGTCCGTCTTCAATGGTCCTGAGATAACGGCACCTAAGGATCTAATTCATTATGGGAACTGGGAGCACCGCGATGTCCACAATCTCTACGGCCACATGCATTTGATGGGCACCTTTGCCGGCCTCCAGCAGCGCGATCCGAACCAGCGTCCCTTTATTCTCACTCGGGCCCACTTTGCTGGCTCCCAGCGTTATGCGGCCATCTGGACGGGTGACAACCTGGCCGACTGGACGCATCTGCAGCATTCGATCAAGATGTGCCTGACAGAGGCCGTGGCCGGATTTTCTTTCTGCGGTGCCGATGTCGGGGGATTTTTCGGCAATCCCGATAGCGAGCTGCTGGAGCGCTGGTATCAGACCGGTGCCTTTCTACCCTTCTTCCGTGCCCATGCTCATATCGACACCAAGCGCCGGGAGCCATGGCTCTACCCCGAGCGCACTCGTCTTGTCATTCAAAACGCGATCAGGAAGCGCTACTCATACCTGTCGCTCTGGTACACCGCATTCTTCGAGCTAGAGCAGACTGGGGCGCCGGTGATACGCCCATTGCTCACACACTATCCGTTCGATAAGGAGACCTTTGGCATCGACAACCAACTGCTGGTACAGGATCGCCTACTGGTCAAACCGGTCATGCAGCAGGGTGTCAGCAAGGTAGATGTATACTTTCCGGCCATCGATGATAAGAAAAACGGAGACTTGTGGTACGATGTGGAAACGTATGAGCGTCAGGACCGTGTCGGTTATGTGACTGTTCCTGTTACTGAATACAAGGTAATATTTTTTTATCACATTGCATCTTTCTGTATACACATCTACACCATTCTCGTAACTTTTCTTCATTTTAGATTCCAGTTTGGCAACGCGGTGGCAGCATTCTGGCCAAGAAGGAGCGCCAGCGTCGGGCATCAACTCTGATGCTACACGACCCCTACACTTTGATCATTTGCCTGGATCGCGACAGAAAAGCTGTCGGCACACTCTACCTGGACGATGAGAAATCCTACGCTTATCGTGAGGGCCAATACATCTATGTGAGCTACGAATTTGCCGACAATCAGCTAACCAACAACTTCATTGGCAAGCCCAAGTACAAGTCCGATGCCTGGATTGAGCGCATCGTCATTGCCGGACTTGAGCGTGTGCCCAGCGGTGCCAAGATCACCGTCAACGGAGTACAACAGTCGCTTGAGGTGACGCGTCAAGGGGGTGCCGTGGTCGTGCGCAAACCGGCCGTTAAAATGGACATTGACTTCGTCCTCACCCTGAACTATGAATAGTTTGTCTTCAGACTAGTATTAACTGTATAAACTACACAAATCTGATATTTCTGTTAAACGATTTAAGTAACCCAAACTGCAAGTCAGTCCCATCTGCCTAGCAGTATTATTCCATGTAGAATAAATTTGAAGATTTCCGGTCCTTTTTTTTATATCTAATCGGATTACGATTAGACTGTTCTGTTCTGCGACTCAGCTCGAAATCCAATGTTCGATAATAAAAACAGGTTTTTAAGAAGACATTTTGTTCTCCGATGTACTTTTAGACCAAAATAATTAAATTTAAGTACATACGATTAGTACGACTAGCACACAGATAGCATGTTTTAAGCCCACACTGCAGAAACATAGTGAAAAAAAGGTTGAGAAAAAAATGATGTGTCTTGGCATTTATAATAATATTACGCACTAAGATTTGTGTCAGTTTGCTTTGCCACATTCTAGGAGGCGCCAAAACTGCACTACAGATGCTACACTACCTTGTGAAACATGATTTATCTCCATAAATTCAGATCCAAAGGAGGACATATATCGATATGATGGATATATGAAAATCACTTATAGTCGCCAGTATCGTATGCAATCCAGTAATGGATAAGTTGTGCTGGTGAACGCGACCAATATTCGAAAAATGTCTGGTCAAGATGTTTTTAATATTAAGAACACTCCGCATGGGGATACTGAGTCCATAGAGCTCGTCGAAGACGTGGAAAAAATGGAGGTTGTGGAACAAGATCAGATTGAACTGGCGATGGGCAACCCCCTGTGGGGACAGAGATGGATGTGTTTAACGCAACTTGGGATTCGCAGTTGTAAGCGCCAACCTGGTCTGTGAGCTGGTACGTCCGACGAGGCTGGTCCGGCGATGAAAGCTAACTTGCTTCCGGGCCGGCACCGTTTTTGTGAGCCTCAGCTACATGCAGCAGTTGAACGTGGACTCCGGGAACATTTTCATCTGGTTACGATTATCGCTAAACAATCCCAAAGGCCACGTCGACATCACCACACAGCTGATGGATTCCTGACTGGCACCTGACTGAAGATTTGATCGCTAGGATCATGGGCGAAAGTACGAACGTCGGTATCATGCTCCTCTTCCCGTTGACGCAGCGCCACATGCAATATCTGTGCTGGACCAACGCTAAAAACCACATGGGTTGCTTCGATCATTTGGAGTTCGTCAACCAAGAGACTGCTCTAGGCTGGGCTCAGTTTCAACTGGAGAATATTAATATATATTTTTTCACAAACACAATAAATATTTGGTAGTGGGACAAATCATTGAGGTCCTATCGAACCCTGTATGGACACCATACGGACATAGAACGACCCACATCTCGATCAGATTCTGCTGCAGATTCAGATTCTGTCAGTTTCTGTTAATTATTGAAAGTTGAATTGAATATATGTATGTACATATGTAAATACTTACCTGCCCACACAGTAGTACAGAATTTTTAGCTCTGTTACGTCATTCGATTGCGTGTGCATTGACGAAAAGTTAATTTCGACGGAAAACCATTTTACATTTTTTGGCTATTTTCATTGCATTTATTTTTGCTGTTTTCTCAGCTGCTGGCAACATTATCAAAGTTATTTCAATTAAAATGTGGCCACATAAACCGCAGGCCAGCTAGATACCCTAGCCCAGGCCAAGGAGCTTCCAAGGCGAAAGCGAAGCTGTTCGTTCCCAGTTCCCAGTCCAGTACAGTCCGGACCAGTCCAGTGTCCGCTGAGTAGTGTGGGAGAGGACAGCCAAAGATAAATTTTCATAACATTTTTCATAACTTTTCGTTTCGGTTGAGCTTAAGAATGTTGTACAAATATTTTTGCAGCTCGGTTCCTCCCGCTTTCGTCCTCTCGTGTGGTCATTTGACTGCCCTCATATGTATATGGGTGGGTATATGTAACATACAACGTACTCCTTTATGGGTGGGTAACCCATTTGGTCATATGAATACTTGTATGTAAGTCAGCACATTTTCCAGCAGCATAAGCATAATTATTTTTAATGCGCTCTGCAAGAATTTGAGCCAGAAACAGTAAGAGGGAATCAGGGAAAGGGAGACGGCCTAAAGCAATAAAAAGAACAGACACATCCTCGGAAGCCTTGAGCTCTTTTCCTGCCACTTTCAATTCCATTCCTCCCTGTGCCCAAACAGGACCCAACCACATTACATTGCGAAATTTAGAAAATTAGCCGGCATTTAGTTAATCTTCCTTCTTCGCCCCTGGTTATATCGTTGGCCCTGTGTAAGACTACAACAAGAAAGTAAGACTATCTTCACCCATCGACTCTTTGGTATGTACACCGATGAAAAAATTGTATGTATTTGTATTGCGGGCAGTCTTTAATGCTTTAGGAATATTTTGCATAGAATCAGAGGACAGGAAGGTGCTACATCGACTGGCCAGTGATGCTCTTCAAGAATGTGTACTCATAGGACATTATTGGATTTCTAACACCCAATAAAAATCAGAATAACCTTTGAAAGGGTATGCTAATCGAGCAAAAGAAAGCATTACAATTAAAAACTAAAACTTTTGGAACAACAATCCAAACCATCCCATTTAAAAACTGAACAAAGCCGTCCACGAGTATTTTAAAACAAATTTCGATTGGAAACCCGCTTTATCTGGAAACTAAAATGATAGTTATGGTTTTTTCAAACCAGATTATAAAATAAATCTGTTTTTGGTAAGATCTGAATAATAATAATAAGTAGACCTCGGATTTTGCATATTTGCATATTTTTAAAGGATTAAGATAGAAAAATTCTGATGACTCGTACTCGCAGCACCTCCGATCCTCCGATCCCCCAGCCAAGTGCTTTTCAAATATAGTCAAAGGAAATCAATTGAACAAAAATTAATAATGAGCCCACGACTATGCTGATGAATCAAATATGCAAAATCCGAGGTCTAATAATAAGTTTTGAGTTTTAAGGAAAAATAAAAATAAACAATAAAATACATACTAATGAACCACTGAAGTTTCCCCAATTTTATTAGTTAACCGAATTCGGCTGAAACTGTATTTTGTTCATTTTGTTTTTTTTGTCCATTGTTTGTGAACTACTTCCCCGACACCCTCTTGTACCGTATACGGTGGGCAATCTCGACGACGACGTTGTATCCCTGCCTTACCACGTAGTCATTGCGGATGACGCAGAAATGGACGGTATACCCGTCTTGTCTCTGTGTGCCACGATCGGTCTGGATGGCCGCGCGAACCGCATCAATAATCAAGCGCGTCGCTTCCTTTTCGTCCAGGTTTTCTTTCCAGCGCGACTCTAGCGTAGCAGAGTCCCAGCAATACGTAGGGGGCAGGATTACTGGCGCCGCTAAAACGGATACTATAAATCGAGGCTCGACCCCTGTCTACGGCGGCGATTATCCAGTTCATCCTGTTTACGTGCTTAAAGCGGTAAATCAGCCTTTTAATTATATGTTTAGCGCGCACAACTGGCACCTCTGTGCACGTTGTCATCCGAAGATGGTTAAGCTGTGCCCGAAGAAGACGTGCAACGGCATCTATATCATCGGCGGTGCCAGCTCCAGCTGCACTATAAAGTCACAAAGGAATTCTGGGGCAATTCAATTAAATAACAGACCCAAGAAATACTCACTAGATGTTATCGTGCAGGCGAAATATTTTCTTTGAACGACCTGAGCGAATCATGGAGCCGCTTGTCCCCTTGATGTGGGTGGCAATGATGACGCCATCACGGATCGTAAGGCCCGCAATAGTGGTGCCGGTGTTCGGGAGCTTGCGCCGGATTCGTTTGGACCTAGCGGGATCGTAGTCTCTGAAGTATGGAGAAAGAATGAAATTTGATAAGAGCAAGCAGCGTGTGTTAATAGTCGAGACGTTAAGTGTAGCGAGTAACGAGTCGGTACGTGCGGCGGTCGCAGCAGTGGACTGGAAACGAAAAACGGATAGTGAGGACAGCTACCGTGGACCTGTTTAATACGCCCTATTTCTAACACTGAAATATGTAATATAAAAACCATTATTCGTATTAAAATCAGATATTATTATGCTTCATCACATATGTATATTCATGATAAATAGGAGCCATACCCACTGAAATTTGTACAGTGTGTTAACACTACACATTGATTTATGCGATTACTAAAGCGAGCAGACAAAAAGCAGTTTAATATTTAATACTCATACGAAAATTAAACAGCATTATACAAATAAAAACGTAAGAGGGATTGAACCGATTGGGATACTTAAATAAATTAAATAATATTCTGTGCTCCACATTAATATTTAATTTCTGAATAATAAGCTATTAACTAATTTTATAGTATACTTTATGTACGTAACTAGTCGATCTACTAATGCGCGGTAATCTCTCTCAATTTATCTTGCAACTGTCATGATTGGTGTAAAAATAGTGATAAACAGCGAATTTTAATTCTTGCAGTTCGTCCATTCTGTAAAAATGAGTCCCAAACAAGTCGGCTGGATAAACAGACATGGCTTATCGACTCGGCTGTTGATGCTGATCAGGAATATACATATGTACACTATGGGGACGGAAAGTATAAGTTACATAATTCATAAGCCTACATACAAAATGTTCCTGCTCGTTTTCATAGGGATCACACATGAATCTAGCGGTATTTCTGGTGATATCTTGGATTTTTTGGATTATTTTTTCATAAAAGTATATTACATACTTATTTTAAACATATTTTATAAACGAATGAGTATATATTTTACGATTGCACGAGTATGCGTTGTTAAGTTTGATGATGAAATTTTCCATATTCCATATTTTTTTGCTAAGAAGCTTTTCAACGTTTCGGAAGAGATTGTATTCAGTATTTTAGGCTTCGGAAGACACAAAAAGTATGGCAATCACTGCTATTATGTTGAGCCCGATTGTAGGTGTCTGTGTGCGAGAAAATGTCTATCTCTCTTTCTTGATGTGTGTGAGTGTGTGTGGCATTTGACCAAGATTGATGGGAATTTAAATTGAGCATTGCGTTATAAATATTTGCGCGTTCTACTGTGTTTTGCGGCCGCCTAACCAATGCCGTATCCTCCCGAAACTAACGCTGCGCCACCACCCCCGAAAACCCCACTCTACCAATGCAAGCGACAGGGGGCGTTGGCGGACGTTTTGTTTGAAAACCTTCTGGTACGTGTGTGCATGTTTCGCACTTAACTTGACAGTCAGCAAGTAAGCCAAATGCTGTCGTCATTCAGTCAGCCAGTCAGTGACTT